GTGCACTGCAACACGTAACTGATTGCTGCTGCCAAGACGTGACTCAGATACGAGTGTCTCACAAACAGGTTGCATTCTTTCCATTTTCTAATATATCTGCACAGTATAACACCATACTATTGTAATGTGCTCGGTAAATGAAGTGATTGGAATAGCATGTTTTGGCAGGAAATATGGACTTAGCTCATCTGCACTTTGATGCCAAAATTAGACCAATTCCTTGTTGCTTTACGTTGCAAGGGCTGAAGGTCTCCAAGGGAATTGCGGTTATTTATTCTACCAATTGGAAATCCATATATCAAAGAAGAGTCAGATTTAATTTCTTGCAAAAAAAATTGAAATAACGTGAAGACGTTTGCCAACAAATGTTTGTACTCATCACATGCACTGTGCATTTTAGCTCGGAATTGCATAGAATATTACAGCATCGAAATAGGCCATTCAGTCCAATTAGTCCATGCTGGTGTTTACACTCCACACAAGCCTTCATGCCTCCTATTCACCCCCACCACATGCTCTCTCTCCTCCACCACAGCTCTCTATCCCTTTTGAGGAGCTTCTTCTGAACTTCACAAAGTTACAATTGTGCTTTAACCCGATTTAGTCATCGAGTCTTATGAATTCCACGTGTTAATTGTAAACAAAGCTTTGACTGAGAACCGTAGGGGTATAATTTGCACGATTTGTATTTTTGTTTTGGTCAGCTTTTCCCATTATCAGTACTCTGATATTTCCTCAAAAAATAGTGAAATTGGTCAAAAAAAAATGCCATTTACAAATTCATGCTGGCTGTAGATTGCAATCACTCCGCCTCACCCCCTCCTTAGCCTCCTTCAAATCCCGCCTCAAGACCCTCCTCTTCAACCATGCTATCAGTCACCCCCCCCCCCTCCTTCTCCCCCCCCCACCCCGACCCCAGCTCGGGTCTGAAATGCTGTACACTGTCCAGTGCTTTGGGATGTCCTCCCAACGTGAAAGGCGCTATACAAATGTAATCTTGTTGTTGTTGCACTTACCCATAACTTTCTAAGAGAATTTTTTGGGGTCAGTCAGGTGTATGACACATGCAGAAACCCAATACAAAGCTTAAGCGTATCCAAACCAAACTGAGAATTCCATGTATCCCACATTCCAGAGATTTTTTATTTGGAATGGAATGTGCACTCTCTTCCTGGAGGACCGTATCTTGCTTACCTAATTTTGAAGAGTATTAGATGCAGATTGGCAAGAATCAAGGCTTGGGGTCCCCAGAGTGTGCGTTGGGGTAAATGCTGAAGTCTAACCTGCTAAAATCGCATAGCTTACCATTGATATCGTTGTCTGGCAAGTTTTCCTGCTGCTTGTCCAGCTCGGACCACGTTACTTGTTACAGCTTTGGCTTGACTATCTGCCCTTCCATATTCTCAGCTGTGATTATCAATCTGATCCCTACCTACCTGTCCGTACCCTCCGTTCCTCTGGCTCCGGTCTGCTCCACGTCCCCCGCCCCAACCGCCCTACCATCGGTGGTCGGGCCTTCAGCCTCTCAGCCCCCAGGCTCTGGAACTCCATCCCCCAGTGCCTTCGCCGCCTCCTCCCTTTCCTCCTTCAAGGCCGGTCTCAAAACCTTTCTCTTTGACCGTGCCTTCAGCTCCCCTCTCGACTCTCTTCCCCCTCCTCGCTCCCTCCCTTCCCTCCCCTCACCCTGACCATTTCCCCCCTCCTCGCTCCCTCCCTTCCCTCACCCTGACCATTTCCCCCCTGCTCGGGTCATGACCCAACTGTGCAGCGCCTTGGGACGTCCTCCTGACGTGAAAGGCGCTTTATAAATGGAATCTTGTTGTTGTTGTTGTTGTTGATCCCATTTTATTGGTTGTAGGCCAACTACACAGAACTCCTCAACCTCACACTGAATTTCAGGCAGATGAGATAATACTAATATTAATACTAACAATAAAAGATGCCCGCAAACAGTTGTGGATTGTTTGACCAAATTATGATTTATTTTTGGAGGGATTATTACCCAGGGAAAATGATCAGTCAATTGTCTAACAACCAGGTTCCCACTTACTGCTAGGTAAACAGAGGCATGTGGAGTAAGGAAACTTTCCTGGCCTAAGATTCCCCCACTCCTCCCCCGCCTCCTGGAATCGAACCTGTGTCCTCTCGCTTGCGAGGTGAGCGCTCTAACCATTATGTTATGGGCCTCCACCATAGGAGATTAAATGGGCCGATTGGGTTTCTTCATCCAAACCTTTTATGATCAGCAATGACATGCGTTTATATAAGTTTATTCATGTAACAAATGTCGCAAAGCTGCTTCTTGCCTGAGAAAACGCCTGAAAACTCTTTTGACAAAAGAAATGGATTTGTCAAGGTTTTTTAAAAAAAATTCATAGTGAATCTGCATTTTCACTCACATTCACATCTAATTTAGTTGCTTTAATTGCAGAGGCTCTCGCTTTTTAAACCCCATTGTGCGAGACCAAAGCTGCCAATCTTGGACCAATCCCCAAATGTGCCTTTTATAAGGAGATAAGAGAACATTTTTACAAAAGGGAGGAAAGTAGTTATATGGATGTGTGATAATTTTGTCACAGTGTGTCAGTGCTCTTGCTGAGGAGCCAAAGGCAGAAGTAACTGCAGCTGTACAGTGTACAGAGAGATTAGCAAAAACATAATGGAAATGTTTCGCAGACGGCAGCAGTTTCTCTGTTTGCTCATTAATGCTCATGTCCACCCATCTCGCTCGGCAGCACTTTTGCCTCTGAGTGATTAAGTTGTGGGCACAAGCTGCACAATATGGCCTTGAACTCACAGTCTACTCTGCAACTCCGGTGCAGTATTGGTGGGGGGGGGGGGGGGTGCTGGGGTGCTGCAATGTCGAAGATGCCGCCCTTCAGAAGACATGCTAAAACAATGTATTATTACCTATTACCAGGAGGACGTTATCTCGAGGTCGGGGTTAAAGGTACTCCTCAATGAACATTTTGTAATGCCAACCATAGAACAGAAAAACCCACAGACTAAATGCACGGATAGATTTTTCTGGCAAATTAGCTTTAAACAGAGCACAAACCTATAGTTTGCGCGTTAGGAATAGTGAGATATGATGCAGAATGGTCACTTGGGTGGTAACCTCAACTAGCCAAGTGTTTAAAGCTCGAGTAGCTGCTGTGAGGAAGTCCATAGCAGCCCATCACTGGTCTCAGCTCAGTGACTGAATAATCATCTCTGGGTTTGATATTAATGACAACAATATCCAAACATTCTCAAAGGCTTGAAAAGTAACTGCTGTCAGGTGTAGTGACTGTGCGTTTATAGGGAATTTATCTGGAGACCAGCCCAGGCGGGATGCACTTTCCGTCCTTTTTTTGAATTGCATCACAATATCCCTCCAATGGTCTGGCCCCGCCCAACCTCAGCGACCTCCTCAAAACCTAAAAGCTGCGATGCTCTCTGCAGTAGAGTTGGTCTTCAGACACTCACTGCCAAAGCTCACACATGAACATTGGTCACTTGGGTGGAGCACTAGAGGGCAACCAGTGCCCATGCAACAGCATTCCAGCAAGAGGCCAGATCATTAGTCAGTGGGGAGAAAATTTGAAAAAACAATTGGAAACACCAAATCTATTTGAAAAATAAGACAGAATTTTGCACAATTCTGTGCCACTGAAAATTGAAGACCAGTTTTTACAGTATCAGGCTCTTATTGAGATGTAAAATTCAATAAGCAATTACGTGCTGAGACAGCAGAGCAATGGTTTACGTTAAGTATTTCTTTATCCAGATTAATTAACAACTGGAAGAGGTTACCAGGAAGTGTGGTTGAGGCCAGGACAATGGACTAATTTAAGTAACAGCTTGATGCTGTGATGGGAAGACAATACGATGAGATCAGATGACCCGAAGGATCTTCTTCTTCAAAACCAATCATGCGGATCGTAGTGTTTCATAGTGGGACAATCCATGCATTCTACATATCCCAGGTACCCATTGCCACTTCCAATTTCGATCAAATGGTTTAAAAAGTTAAGTAGGTATTCTGCCACTACTGATATACTGAGGTCCAAGTGATGGCAGTAGTTTGGAAAGTGCTGGGTTGGGCGGGGGAATAGTTTTGGGGAAAAAAAAGGAATTTGAACAAAGCCAGTGGGGAGGGGGAAGAGTAAGAGATGCTCTACTGGGGGTTATCCACTGGGGTGGGGGGAGGACATCCTCTGTGAATGAAATGTCCCATTATTTCATCACATTGCATCTTGCATTTCAATCGTACCCCACACACCACCATTCCCCTCCAGCTATTACGAACTCAGCATGCAGCGTGCAGATACTCTCATATCTCTATCCACAGTCACTGAGATCTGTGAGGTTAACAGCAAGGAGAAAAACAAGAAAGAAATGCAAAGCCAGTTCGTAGTCTGAAAAGAATGCTTTAATAAAGCATCGGTAGGAAACCTTTAACGGTCACTCGCTTTACTGCTGTAAGCCTACAGTAAATTAGCATTTGCTTATTTTTTCCTTAAATAACAAAAAAACGATCTTGCATTGAAGGACGAACAGGTGGTGATGGGGGGGGGCGGGGGAAGGGCGAGGGGGTGAGGTGGAGTGTTGATTCAGTTCCGCACTTACTGCAAGCGGAATTGCTTTAATACAAAATGGGATGAATGGTACAGTTATCTTCCACTCGAGCAAAAAGAAAATCTCACACTGACATGATCGTACTTATATATTAATTATTAATACAAATGGCTGTTCTGGATGGTGTGTGGTGGGGTAGGAGGAGGGGGCAAAGGGGGAGAGGAAAAGGGGAGAGGGGTTCAAGACAATGATGGTTTTGACTCCGAGCTAAATACAATGGCACAGAAAATTGCTGCAGGATATTGTTTGAAAACGTCTCGTTATCAGCGGTGTGCAAGTTTGTGAGCCGAAGCAGTCGTGAGTGAGTGAATTCACGTCCACGCCGTTTCGCAGTTGTCGTATTTTTGTGTGTGTTTATATGACGTTGAATTTAGTGCATGTCCGCGTTTATACTTCCCTTTTCTTAACGTCGGACGCAAGACATTCGCTTTAAGTGTTGATTTCAAATGGAAGAGAGAGAGAGAGCGCATCAGGCGTGAAGCAATCGTGAACGATTCGTTTTTTAACGTCGTGTAAGTTGTAAAGTTTTTCTTGATGTATTGTGCGTGAAGCAATCAGAACCCCTGGGAAACAATGCACAGGGCACCTGCTTTGCTGGACAGTCAAGTTCATTGGATTTGTGTTCGTTTTTACATTCAGAAACAACTTTCCGCATCAAGTTTGTCACCTAAAACCCACGTTGCCTTGTTAAAAAAAAATAAGTTAGTATGACTTAAACCTTTCTTAAAAGCTCGTTTGTTTGCTTGTTTCCCCTCTCCCTCTGCAGAAATACAGCGTCGAGGACAACAACGACGACAAAAAAAAGTAACCGAAAAAAAATTATTCACATAAACATAACCTTTACAGGACAAATACACAAATAAGGCCATCTGCAGCATCAAGAGTCCACCTTAGGCAATATTTCACAACAAATTCTACAGAATATTTTACATCCCAGGGACTGCGCTTGTTGAACGGTTGCTCAGCGTGGCCAATCCATCCGTCTGTCCATCAGTTAGTCTGTCTGTCTGTCCGCCCGGCAGGTTCCACTATCTTTTCGAGGAGGAGCTCAGCTTGCTGGGCGCTGGGGAGCGCTTGGATGGGGTGGGGATTTTGGAGGCTCTTCCCGAGGAGGCTCGAGATCCAGCCCGCGATCCCGACCTGGTAGCCCCATCTGGCACTGTTTCTGAAGCGTCCGAGCACACGGACTGGATGTCCGAGATGTCGAAGTCGGAGGCGTCGCTTCCCCGCCGGCTGCTGGCACGGCTGCCGGTCTTACTGCCCGCTCGGCTCGCGGGCCGGCTCGACGCTTTACGCGCATCTGCGAGAAAACAAATCAGTTTTTTTTTAAAAAAAGGAGGGTGAGGGGTGACCTGTTGGAGGTCTTTAAAATGCTGAAAGGTTTTGATAGGGTAGACACAGGGAAGATGTTTCCACTTGTGGGGGAGACCAAAACCAGGGGCCATCAATATAAAATAGTCACAAATAGAGAAGTTAGAAACAATTTCTTCACACAGAGAATAGTGGGAATGTGGAGCATGCTACCACAAGGAGTTGTTGAGGCGAATAGCATAGATGTATTTAAGGGGAAGCTCGATAGGTACATGAGGGAGAAAGGAATAGAAGGTTAGGCTTGAAGGCTTAATTGAGGAAGGGCAGGAGGAGACTCATGTAGAGCATAAACATCGGCATAGACCAGTTGGGCTGAATGGCCTGTTTCTGTGCTGTATATTCTAATGTATTCTAATGTAGTTTAAAAACCAAATCAAATAAATAACTTTCTTAAAATGATGAAGGGATTTGCTCGGGTAGATACAGAGACATTCATTCCTCTTCTGGGGGAATCCAGAACACGTCCCAGTGAGACATAATAATAATAACCTTGCATTTGATATAATGCCTTATCACATCATTTACTGTGTATTTTGTGGGCGAAACGCAGCAGCCAATTGCGCACAGAAGTGTCCCACAAACAGTTGTGAATTGAGTGACCAAATTTTTTTTAAGGCATTAAGCTAAGGACCAGTCTGCCTGTTCAGGTGGACGTTAAAGAGGAATTAATTTGAGAAGTTAAGGTGGGAGGTGACAAAGGCGTGGGAGACAAAGACTCTCTCTCAATCCCTCCGCCTTGCCCCCTCTCTCCCCTTTTTCAAGTCCCGCCTGAAAACCTTCCTCTTCGCCCGTGCTTACATCCACCTCCCCTACCTCGGAGTCAGGCTCCGCCACTGTTAAGAGCTCTGAGACACTATCCTGCTTGGAAGTTGCTGTATAAGTACAAGTTGTTGTTGTTGGTGAGGGTATCACAAACAGAAACATGATTGCTCTGGGACGCTACCCTGTGTGAACGGCACTATATAAATGCATGTTGTTGTAGTAGAGAGAACTCACCAGTTGCTTGTGATCTTCCTCTGGAAGGTGGCACAGACACTGCACTACTCTCCTCTCCAGAGTGGAAGCTTTTCCCCGATAGATATCCAGGAGGACGCAATTTACTACCCTGTATCGGAGTTACCTGAAGCAACAAACCAAAGGGAAAATGTTATTACTTCATATCTCTATGTTATTGTGAGGGGTGGGGGTTGGCGGTTGGGGCTGCAGACAGTCTGCATGCATCAAAAGCAAAGGTTAATCCCTTTGACAACAAAGATTCCACTTGATTTTCTGAATCTAATATGAAGTGATCTTAGCAGTAAAGCAAAATACACTGAAGGGATGAGGAGAAAGAGCTGGAAAGTGTGATTAATCGGAAAGATACGAGCGAGAGAAAGAACAGGTAGCGGTGTCAAAGGCACGATGAACGACCTTCTGTGCTGAAAATTTTCATGAGGTAAAATCTGTGGTATTCGTTAAACTAACATTGGCACAATGTAATTATTGCCTATTGGTGTTAATTATTGTCATGATTAGCAGCACTAAGTTTGAGCTCAATTTTCTGAGCTTCATACTGGAACCTACAGTAATACCCTGACTGGCCAATTGTGGCAGTGTCCCCTCCATCCCCTCTCTCCTACCACCTCTGATGGTTGGGAGGAGAGGTGTGTTGAGGAGAAGATGGGAGAGGTACAGAGGTATTTGGAAATGAAGGGTCTTGGTTGGAGTGGATCTGTTGTAAGGCAGGGAGACAGTGGAGCCTGGGGAGGACTCAGGTGATGGGTGTGCAGAGTTTGGTTAGGGGGAATACTGGTCCTTTTGAAGTTTGTTTTTGGCAGCTAAAAAGTTTGTATTCCACTAACTACCAGTCAAGGCAAGGATCCACAAAGCAGAAGTTCAACACTGCGGACTTGTGGGATGTTACCACTGGGTGGGAGGGCCGGGAGAAATAAACACCTGTTCACTTCCAGGAAGCGGGGCAGGAGTGGCGGTAAGGGGGTGTAAAAGGTGCTGGAACACCAGTGATTTAATCCCGTTACATTCTACATCTCAGTGACTTGTCTTTTACTCTCTCCTGGAGCCGTCACCCACATAAGGAAGTTGTGGTTGAGAAGATATCAAAGGCAATTGCTCACCGCAACCACCAGTATCCTGAATCTGCCCTCCACTAATGAACGCTAGTGTGCGCACGTGTGTGTATGTCGGTCTCTGAATTTATACAATGTCTTTACTGTGCATTTTCACACAATTGTAACAGCAGTGAAAATACTGAATTGGTTTTAACATAAAATATATTCTGGATGTGGGAGGGTGGTGATAAATAATAATCTGCAAAACACAACGCGTAACGTGCTGAATGAAGGTGCTGATAATGGAGGACGAGTTGACCTGCTGTGGTTTGCACATCGAACCACATTGCAAGTAGTAAAGTGAAACCTCGAAGACGACAAACAGCGAGAAGGTACTTGAAAAACAGCAGCACGTTTGCAAAGGTTTCTCTCGGCTCGAAAGAAAGAGGGAAGAAATTCATTTGAAAAAGCGAGCGAGTTTGATGACAGCTGCTTTCGCGCAGCTCTGGAGAAAAACAGAAGTTAGATCCTAGATGTCAGCTCACCTAAAGAGGGCGAAGATGAAATGTGAAAGGAAAGCTCGCCTACTTTCTAGCATTAAGGATTAAGAGAAATTAGGGTCTAGGGCTGTAACAAGTCCTCTTTCTCAGGCTTCAACTGTTCATTAAAGGCAAATTTGCCGCTAATTGTTCAGATTGTTCCCTGAATGCCATGATAACTGAATGCCGTTGCAAAGAGATGCCACTCTTATGCAGTTAAGGACCATTGACATCCCACCCAAATGTTGGCTGGTTTTGTTTTAATTACACAGCAACCTGAGTGACTGAATCGATCAGTCTGAACAGCAGCAAGTCCCTAAGACACTTCAATTCACTGCACCTTCAGTGAACCTCCTCCTCTTGCTAAACCAATTTAATCCAGCTCCTCAAAAGGAGACGCCAATAGGTTCAGGAGGGTTCCTCGTGGGAAGCCGAAAAGTTCAACGCATCTCACTGCGTCTCTGTGACTTTAAACTGCGAGCTAGTTTGCGGTATTTCTTAACTGATAATATTTCAATTGATACAAAGCCCCCTGGGGATGCAAACAGTGATCCTTTCCAGTAACTGGATATACGTCCGTCACAGCGACCCGAGGGGGCTTTGCTCCGATACACTCCCAGGCAGAGCTGCCACCCACGGGTCAATGTGATAAGATTCCTTATTGAAGAAACTGGTTAAGACAAACCGCAAATTAGACACCGCATTTTTAAAAGGCACAACTCAGAATGAAAGGCAGCGCAGAACAAAGTTTCGGAAGCCTGGAAAACAGTCAGGAACAGAAAGTAACACTGTTACAACCCTCATCACAGACCCCAGAGCCCACCCAGCCTTAGCCTTCGAGACCATTTTGCTTTCGGAAAAAAATCTAAGTCAACGCAGATACGGTGGAAAAACATTCTAAAAATCCGGCCTTCATTTGGAAACTTTTTTTCGTTGTCCCCCTTAAAAAATTGTTGCCCCTTTTCGCCCACAAAATATACAGTCAATTCACTTTACAGTGTATTCTGTGAAACGCTTTGACACGTCTCAAAGACGTGCTAAGGCGCTATATCAACGCAACAATTATTATTGTCACTATTAATAAAAAAAGAACCCACTTCCCGAATTAAGGCGGAATTTTTAACAACGTGCCACAGTTCGGCGCGTTCTTAAACATTTGACGAAAACCTAGACTCGCAGGCTAACACCAGGTGGAATTTCAGGTGCACAGAGTAGCTAAAGGCAGACTCGGACTCAGTAACACTCAGCCCCTGGAAAGCTGCCAGCCCGCATTTCGTAGACCTTGGAATGCTTCACCGTACAGTACTGTACCTCTGGAGATGGTACCCGGCATTCGGGGGAGTCTGGTGACTTAACGGGAGTTGATGTTTTGCTGTTTGTCAACCATGGTTTATCATAATTGCGGATTATGTGTTGGGGTGTCTGCGTGAAACAAGGATATACATTGAGAATGAATGGAAAAATCTGACAATACAACTCAAGATAAAATAAATGTGAAAAATAATAATGTTACGGGGAATGAGAAGGGAGGAGGGGAAAGAAAAGCAGGTTCGGAGGGATATAAATGACGTGATGGAGGTGAAGCCCACTTTGTGACAGCCCCCTTTAAATTGATAGTCAGTGTCAATGAGGTTAGTGGGGAGCCCTGTTTCATTAAGCGCTGGGGCATTTAGTCAGAGGATTATTGGATTACATCGAGTTCCCAGGCGAAGATCCCCCCATCCCAATCGGGAACACAAGTGTGAAAATGTTATCAACCCCATCGATGGCTGTGTTACAGCAACCAAACCAAACTCAAACGGTTAGAGTAAAGGTAGCCATGCTGTTAGCCTGTTGATCAACACAACAATACAAAACAAGCAGCTCGGAACTAACTAACACAAACGACAGCACTAGGGAGTTCTGACCTGCCCACGGCTGGAATGAGCTGAGACAACTCGTCCCCTTTAACTATATGCCATGTGGATTTTACTCTGGTCAACCAGGGGTCTGACACGTGCAGAAACCCATCATCGTGCTTAAGAGTGTCCAAACCTGGCTGACAGGTCCACATGTGCGATGCCACCTACGTATGGAAATTTCCCGGTGTCTGGAATGAAATGTGCCCTCTCTCCCTGGAGGGACACACCCCGCTTTCGCAATGCCTCACAGGTCAACAGCAAATGCACAAAATCAAGTGGCCTGGAACTACATGCTGTGTTATACTCTTTCTGTACCTGCCCTTCCCTCCCTTGCTCCTCGTCCCGCAGGATTACCTTGAGAGGAGTGTTGGCAGTGTTTGGTGGCACGGAGACACTCTGAGTGGCACTGGAGGTTGACCTGTTGGGAGAAGCAGCCCTGGAAGACGGCCGTGACCTGCGACCTCGTGGCCGGAAGGCAGCGACGGACTGACAGGTGGTGCCTTCGGGAACCATGAACTTCTCACGCAGTTCCACGTTCGTCCGTCCTTTGGCTGAAAGATGAAACGGAACAACAGCGTCAAAAAACTAAAGCTCACGTGGGGAAGGGAGTAGGAGGGAGGGAGGGAGGGATGGATGGAGGGGGTGTCCCGATTTCAGCACCAAACTAGCAGTGACGCGTGAAGTGGCGTTTCCAAAAGAAAGAAACAAAAAATAAAACCATGAACAGGAGGACTAATTAAGTGGTACAGGATAATGAAACGATACTGAAATCTGAATTTGATAGCCTATTCACACCAGCAACAAAAAGGTTTGAGGCAGCAGCACTATATATATATCTCTGTAAATATTTGGGCTGGTGTATAATGAGAAAATGACACGACTTTGCGGCCCAGCCAAAAAAATATATATTTTATTTTGTTTAGAAAAAATAACAACTTAGAATGAGAAAAAAAAAATCTGATTGCATCGAGGTTTCAGTTCAGTTTCATGTTGTGTACTACGGAGTTCAGACTACAATAATGTCATGCAGTCAGTTTATATATAATATAAATATATATAAAATATACAGTGCATATATATGTATTAAATTAAAAAGGCCAGGGATCCACCAAAGCAAAACCCAATTCCATTAAACTGTGCAGAAGCTCAAAACAGCACATCACTTCAGGCAGAACACATGTGTACATTCATTCCACTTAAGGAAGATGCTACAATACCAGACAAGGTGAACCACTTACTTGCAGTGGGTATTACTGCGGGTAAAAGAAAAGAATCATATAAGCACTTCACATGCATTCTGAGACAGGCAATCCATCATTCTGTGTTTGGTTACTGAAATTTGTTTTACGAAGCGCATTGGGTTACTTTTTTTAATATATTAAAAAAAAGCATACAGAGGCCGCTTGTAGCTGCTGGGGGAAGGGGTGAAAGCCATACAAGAATAGAAAAGCACACACGGTAGAGGGAAAGAGACAGAGGGTTGCCAACCTATAGGAGACTGACTGGTAATTGAAGAGTTTGATTCTGAACGCAACATTTTAGTCCCGTGATGATGAACTGGGGGGAAGAAAATGATAAACGGAATCTCGTCACATCAGAAGAAATGCAGAAGGAAAAGTATAGGACCGACACCAATCAACAGAACCAGCAAGTCATTCAACAACAACAAAATTACATTTATAGAGCGCCTTTCATGTTGGGCGGACGTCCCAAGGAGCTGGACTTTCAGGTGTTGGGGCCTGAGCATGGGGCAGGGGTGGTGTAGGGGTGATGGAAAGCAGAGAGGTGGGAGGGCGATCGAAGAGGAGGGTCTCGAGACCGGCCTTGAAGGAGGCAAGGGAGGAAGTGAGACGAAGGGACTGTGGGATGGGGTTCCAGAGTGCGGGGGGAAAGAGGCTGAAAGCCCAGCCACCGATGGTAGGGGTCAGGCAGGACACATAGAGCAGGCCAGAGCCCGCTGAACGGAGGGAGCGGGCTGGTTGGTAGGGAGTCAGCAGGTCAGAGTGGTAGGAGGTGGCCTTGAAAGTGAGCACAAGGATCTAGAATTCGATCCTCTGGGGGATGGGGAGCCAGCGGAGTCGACCAAGGGTGGGAGTGATGGGGTCATGGAACCTGGTGCGCGAGAGTACATAAGCTGCAGAGTTTTGGATGAAGGGAAGAGTTGGGAAGGCCGATGAGGAGGGAGTTTCCATTATCGAGCCTTGATTCTTGACAAGTAATGGGAATATGTGTGTTCAAGTATTCAATGTGAAGGCTGTTGTTGTGCGCTAAAGCGACTGTTATCACATTGAACGCTCTTACGCTCACAAATTTATACCCAATGTCTTAACATTACACTGAACAAATTTATCCCCAATGTCTTAACATGATACTTAACGAATTTACCGAGCTCATCGTAAAAATATACTTCATGAATTTACCTCTGTTGTCTTAAAATTACGCTTGACACATTTACCCTCCTCATAATAATGATAAACCTTGCATTTGATATAGCGCTTTTAACGTCTTCCAGACATCTCAAAGTGCTTCACAGAATAGACTGTAAGGTGAATTGACTGCATATTTGTGGGCGAAATGTGGCAGCCAGCAGTGTCCCACAAACAGTCGTGGATTGAAGTGACCAATTTATTATTTTTTTTTTTCTTGAGGGATTATTATCAGGCGTGTGGAGTAAGGAAACTTGCCCAAGGTTTCACCCTGCTGGGAATCGAACCCAGGTCTCTCGCTTGCAAAGCGAGTGCTCTAACCACTGAGCTACAGGACTCCACGAATATGCTTACAATATAATATACTTCACAAATTTACTGCCATTGTCTTAACATTATACTTCATAAATTTATTGTCATCATCTTAACATTATACTTCATAAATGTATCTCCATTATCTGAACAACATAATTCACAAATATACCCCTAACATCTTAACACTACACTTCACAACTGTACACCATTGTCTTAACATAGCAATCACAAATTTAGCCCTTATTGTATTTCACAAGTTTACCGCTATCATCTTAATGCTGTACTTCACAAATTTACCCCCTCGTCTTAACACCTAATAGTTCGTGCTGCTGTATTATCATATTTTGCTAATGAAGATTGGGGGAGAACCAAAAAAGGGAATGTTTCATTAACGGGCACCTGAATTACTACACAAACAGAAGCCAGTTTGTTGAAGAACACAGGGCAGTCAAACAAAAGGCAAAATACAGTAAATGCTGGAAATCTGAAATGAAGACAGAAGTCGCTGGGAACGGCAGCAGCTATGGAGAGGGAAGTGAGTTAGCGTTTCATGTCGATGACCTGAAACATTAACTCACTGTCCACGCTCCATAGATGCTGCCTGACCTGCTGCGTGTTCCCAGCGACTTCTGTTTTTATTTCAGGGCAGTTAAGCACTGGCTATAGCCTGTACTGCACATCCCCAGAGACGAGTGGCCCTCAGCCCTCCACCACTCACCTCGGCAGGGATCGTTTTTCACCAGGAACTCGTCCAACGCCATCCAGCCGCCCCCCACCCGAACCATTACTGTGCTACGCAGGATCCGGACAAGGCGTAGTTGCTGAGAGTCGCCGAACTGGAAGGAAAGACAGCGAGAGAGAGAGAGAGAGAGAGAGAGAGAGAGAGCGGTGAGACTGGGTGGGGAAGGCTGAAACAGCGAGCAGCTTTTAAACAGAGAATTTTACAGAGAGAATAAACCTTCAGATCACAACGCTTCCCTTTTGATTTACCAGGTTATGCACTTAGCAGAAATTAATTACCACAAGCATTCATTTTCTCTTCTCTGACAAAGCGAGTTTTTAAAAATTTAAAAGGCAATGGAAGATTCTCTAATTTTCTAGCGTTTCTAGCGGCCAAAATACCCAGAATTGTCTGCACATTTGTGAAAAAAAGCTTTTTTATTTAAAAAAAAACAAAAAATGTAAAGCAGCAAAGTGGAAGAGGCGTTCTGTTCCCTATTGGGTAAGTGTGAAAGCCACAAAGCGAGACACACACTGAGCCTCACCACACAGTGCAACAGAGCAAACACAACAGCACAGAGAGCAATTCTGTACCTGATTTCCTAGGAAGAACTAGGTGGTGTGGTAGTGGTGGTGGAGGAAAAGAACAGGAAGGAAAAAGATAATTAGTCACGCAGGATAACCTGGACTTTCAAATTACACTCAGCCATTTATTCACGTTAAAGCACCTCACAAGTAAACAGCGTTGAACTTGGATTCCTTACACTGGAGATGAAAGGGTCTGACTCGGAACATTTAAGGAATGTAGTAGCATTTCTGCTTCCCAAACACATAAATAATCCTTGTGTTTGATAAAGCACTTTATCATGTCGACCAAATGTCTCAAGGAGCTTCACAGGACATTTACTGCGAAGTGTAGAGACTATGTATTTCTGGGCAAACATGGCAGCCAATGTCCCACATACAACCATGAAGTGAGTGACCAACTTTAATTTGGAAGATTGGCCAGGATAGCAGGAGAAATTCCTTTCTTTTTTTGAATTGTGCCATAGGATCTTTAACATCCACCTGAACAGGCAGAAGGACCTCGGTTTAATGGTCTCATCCACATGATGGCACTTTCAACATTGCAGCGACCCCTCCATCCCGGCATTGCATTGGAGTGTCAGCCTTGACTGAGTTCATAGCCCCGACAGGAAACTTGAATCTACATTCTTGTGACTCAGAGGTGAGAATGCTAGCCACTGAGCCAGACCGGCACTTACAAATACATGTGTGGAGCAGTCATTTAAAAAAACACAGCTATTTTAAGTTAATCCACTATCTATCGAGTCCTCCAATGGTAGCATGACCAGCTTCGGGGCCTGACCACTGTGACGGTGTTGATTAACACAGGTCATTTACGAGGACATTGGACTAATTCAAGGAACGGCTCGTTTGTAAATAGGATTGGGAAAGTAAGCCCAGAGCAATACTTTTAGATCCACTAAGGCAGCAGAATCAGAGGATACAGGCTCAGGTAGCAGAGGCCAATTTCAGGACAGAAACCAGGAAGTATTTTTTTAACCCAGAGGCTAACTGAAGACTGGAACAAGGTTGCCATGAAGGATGATTGAGGCCTGGATGCTGAACTCATTTAAGAAAGAGTTTGTTGCTATAGCAGGAAGTCAGTAGGGGATTTCTAGAAGGACATCATCAAATGTCCTTGCCAAATGTCATCATCTTGCTAGCTTACGCACACTGTGAAGTAACCTCTCCTCCCACCCACTATTACAGTCTTGCTTGTTTAAATCTCTGTATAAAACAGCAGCAAACCAGTGTTACAGATCCACTCCATTTGATTTGAAACGCGGGAACAATTCTGCACCAAACAATTGTTATTTAGTTAAATTTCTAGTAATGCAATACACAAAACATCCAGTTTCTGGGCAACACTCATCGTGAATGGTGTCGTTGTTCGGGGGGACGTGGCTCTATCTTCAGCACACCTTCTGTGTCGAAACTAAATTAGATGATCAAGATGTCAACCCTCTGGGTAGAGAGTGCATGCATAGGTGACTTCCAGACAACAGGGAATTGCCATGCATATGTGGTACTCTCAGTCTAGTTTGGATACTCTAAACACGGCAATGGGTTTCAACGTGTCTCAGACACTGGGCTGACCAGAAAAAAATAAATCAAACACACTGATCAGCCTATCAAGTCAGATATTAACATTGTTTTTTTCTGTTTAAAGTTCCTTGTGTTTAAGGACTTATCACTCCATGAATCTCGTCTATAACAAATGGCCAATGTACTGGGATTCAGAAATGGCCAGAGTACAATGGAAGAGACTGAGGCTGGTGCTATTATTAGGGTCTATCATGAGGCAATTTCTAATGGGATTCCTTAATAGGGAATCACGGCCAAACAGCATTAACCACTGCACCCATTGCCTTTCTGGGCGAGATGCTGTGCTATGCTGCTTTGAGACTTTGGAGCAACAACAACAAATTGCATTTGTTCAGCACTTCTCACATCGGGAAGACGTCCCAAGGAAACCTTATGTCTGACTGGCTATAGTAGTGCTACCTCGAGGGCAGCCCAGTCTCTGGAACTCACCCTGTATTTGTTGTCTCCAATCTGCTCCACTTGAAACCGCTTTGCACACTTACATTTGGCGACTTGCCGAGTCACCTATGATAAAGGGATAGTAAGAGAGACGGGAGTAGCGAGGTGAGAAAGCAGGCAATTTCATCAATCAACCTTATAGCAGCAAGTTCAAACACCCATGCAAAAATTGCAAATAATAGTCAAAATATTTTTTTTTACGGGGAGATTTAACACTGGAATTGAAAAGCAGAATGCATATCCATCTATATGAAGCATTAAGCCATCTATGGATTGATGACATTTTTGGAGATACCTCATCCTCTATTTTGTCGGCGTCAGTCAGAGGCTTGTAGGCGTCTTTGTTTGGATGAAGTGCCGCTACAAACTCATAATAATCGATGTAGCCGTCTCCGTCTCGGTCAAAGATGTCAGCCACCGCGCTCATCTCTAACCGGCTGGTCGGAAACTCTGAAAAATGTCACCACAAACACCTTCCGCTTAATTATTATTATTAATAATAGTAATATTTGCATTTGATTAGCAACTTATCACGACGTTGAGAGGTCTCAAAAGATTTTACAGAAAAAATTGTAAAGTGGATTCACTCTGTATTTTGTGAGCGAAATGTAGCAGCCAATGTGGATTGAGTGACCACATTATTTTGACGGATTATTATTCACAGAAAGCAATCCACCGATCAGCTAACAGCCAGGTTTTTACTTACTACTAGACAAACAGGTGTGTGGAGTAAGGAAACTTGCCTAACATTTCACCTTACACGGCAATCGGACACAGGTCCTCTCGCTTGAGAGGTGAGTGCACTAACCACTACGATACAGGACTCCCAACAGTCCTCGCAATTATTGGCATGAATCTCTTACACTGGTCAATCCCATGTGGAAAAAAATACGTGAGCGGCATGAAAAACATATTCTGTTTCATCAACAATTAATTTTCCCAATATGAAGACTTGAGTAGACATTGGGCTCCCAATGGGTCAATGGATAATGTATTGTATGGATTGCACCACATATACCGGAAAGGTTTAAGGTTTGTTTCTTGGTTTGTGCTGAATTAGTGGAGCTTAATTAGGTGTTGCCAGGTTCGGAAGGATTTATCTTTAAAACCCTTCTTCAGACCTATCTCTTCAACCACTCTTGTGGTAACCTACCCCTTCTCCATTGCTTGGTGTCCAGCCCTGCCACTTTACAGCAGCGTGAGACATTATCCTGCATAAATGGTGTTATATGAATGTAATTACTTTTGTTGGGTTGTCCTCCCGACGTGAAAGGCACTATACAAATGTAATTTTGTTGTTTTTGCTGTTGATGAAGATCAGTCAGAATTCAAGAAGGGGCCATTCAGCCAGTCTAGCCTTTTCCACCAGTTTATTATATCATGGCAGATACAGCAAAGCAGTAGAACAAGGCAGAAGTAGTGGATTGTACAAGGGAATCTCAGGACTGACACTGGGAAGTATTTATTTACCTAGAGCATAATTAGCAACTGGTACAGATTGACAGAAAAGGTGGATGTAGCCAGGTCACTAGACTCATTTAAGAAACAGCTTGATGCTATGATGGATCCCTCTATCTTATTGTCCTTCTATATAATAATAATTATAATAATATTATTATCCTTCTATCTATGCATCAATCTATGGCTTAAATATCCAAATGAAATCAGTCTCTATGGCCTTTTGAGCTATACATCCACATCCCTCCTGCTTTCAGTGGCAATCAAGAATGAGAACTTCCAACAGCTGATTGTCATCCATTGACCTTGTGCTCCTCCTCACCTACATATGTTCTGGACTAAACTGGAAAGACTATAAGCTTAGGTACCAGCTAAGAACAGTAAGGGTCTTTGGTTGAGGCACCATGAGCTGCCTGTGACTGTGGAACTGTTCCATTGCACAAATTGGCCTGAAGTGAATGATCCCTCTAACTGCAGGACTATTGGCCAGGTAATGTGAATGAAAGACTAACTTCAGTGTTGTGAAAGACACTGGCTAAAGTATTGTGAAATGCAGGTCAAGGTTAACTAGCGCTGAGTACCCTGGACTTACTGGAGGAGAGAATCCCATCAATGAATTCCTGTCTGGTTATTTTTCCGTCCTGGTCTTTGTCGATGCGTCTGAAGAAGTCCATCACCCGAGACTTCTTGTGGTTCATCCAGCGCATGTACCTCTTCCTCCACACGTCAAAGTCGAAGTTCGCAAACTCTCTCAGCTGCAACAGAGGAAAACGCCTGGTTTGAGCAACACCATGAAAAAAATTACAGGAACACCATCATTGGTGAAATACCACAACTTAAAGAGAAGGCCCAACCAATAACACCCAAGGGCAACCAGGAATAGACAATAAATGCTGAGCATCATCCACATCCTGAGACAGTACAAACAAATACATAATAAACAGAGGCAGAGTTTGGAGTGTTATTATTTAGATCTAAGATTCATTTACTTTAGTACTTGTGTCAATATTGCAGTAATAGACTAATAATCTTCCCTGCATTTTAAATGGAGGCTCGTCATCCCGATGAAACATCTCAGAGTGCTTCAAAGAATTTGCTGCAGATTGTCTTAATAATAATAATCCTTGCATTTGATATTGCGCTTTTCACGTCTTCTAGATGTCCCAAAGCGCTTAAACAGAATATACTGTAAAGTGAATTGAATGTATATTTGTGGGCGAACGTGGCAGCCAATTGCGCACAGCAATGTCCCACAAACAGTCATAGATTGAAAGTTAATTGTAGTTTGTAAGCAAATAAAGCAATTCTAAGTGTTTGAGTGGCTTTCTTGATGTAATCAATGTCAACGTCACGGTAAACAAACAGAATAATACACAATGTTGGTAGACTTGCCGGCAGCCTAACATTAATAGACTTTTGGCTTAGTTATTAATTACTCACAAGTGAATGCTCGCCAACTGTTTCGATGCCTTACACACATACATACAAACGAATAAACAATCGGACACAGAGGAAGCCACACTGAGGAGTCCAATTTTTTTACCATTCATTAAATATTTGCGAAACAGAAGCATTATTTGGATCCGCAATGTCAAGGAAAACAAGACAGCCCCAGAAACATTTTAGTTGCTCATTTGGATAAACGCTAAATGCTCCCATTTGCACGTTAAACAGCAAGATTTTCAATTCCTTACTATACAATTTAGGGTGCTCTCCAGTTTTGTTCTCTGTTAAGAAAATGTATGTGTCAAGAGTAATAATGATTATAATAATAATCCTTACATTAGACAAAGCACCCTTTTGTGCCGGTGTAAAAAGTCAGCTTACCTCCTCCAACCTGTCAAGGGCATCATTGAGCTTCCGCCGTCGGTCCAGAGCCAGGAGCCACACCTGCTGCCACTTGCTGACCAGGAGGTTGGCCCGTGGGTTCTTGCTCTCGATCGTCTGCCCCGTGGGGGAATACATGGCCTGCATCGGGGAGCGTTTCCCTGCAGGAAAACCACACCAGGACTTCAGCACTCACTAAGCCTGAGTAACCGGCGCGAAAAATACAGTGTGTGATGTGGTCACATTGGGGAACGTTCCACGTCTGGCAATGTCCAGGTTAATAATTGTACACACACCTTAACGCACACACATACACACACTCCTTATTTTTCCACGCCTTATTTTGTCCAAAGCTCCTTGTGGCCTACCAACCTGCCCGCTCACTGCACTCAACAGGCACTGGCCTGCGCTCTTTCCTCTCCACCCATTCTCTTTCCGAACCCCTTCAGTCAGGTTTCCGTGCTGCCCATAGCACAGAAACTGCCCTGGTCAAGGTCACCAATGATATCCTGACCATCTGTGACCAGGGCTCCCTCTGTCTCCTCGTCCTCCTCGACCTATCGGCAGCATTCGATACGGTCGACCACGCTATCCTACTCCACCGCTTGTCCTCCCACCTCAACCTTCAAGGCACTGTCCTTGAATGGTTTAGCTCTTACCTTTCCCACCGTCTTCACTTCGTCTCAACGAATGGCTTCTCCTCCACCCCCCGTACTGTCTCATGTGGTGTCCCTCAGGGCTCTGTCCTCGGTCCCCTCCTCTTCACCCTCTATATGCTCCCCCTTGGTGACATCATCCGCAAACATGGGGTTAACTTCCACATGTATGCGGATGACACCCAACTCTACCTTTCCTCCTCTACTCTCAACTCCACGACCACCGATGTCCTGACAGCCTGCCTGTCCGACATCGAGTCCTGGACGAGAGACAACTTTCTTCAGCTCAACGTGCGAAAAACCGAGGCCCTCCTGATTGGCTCACGTCAGCGCCTCCGCACCTCAGGCGCTGACACCATCAGCATCCAAGGCTGCACTCTCCACCTCTCAAAGCCAGTCAGGAACCTCGGCGTTTTGTTCGACCCTGAGCTGTCCTTTCTCCCTCACATCCGCACCACAACTGGCACCGCCTTCCATCACCTCCGGAATATCGCCAGATTACGGCACTACCTCACCCCTCACGCTGCTGAAACCCTGGTTCACGCCTTTGTCACCTCAAGGCTGGACTATGGGAACTCTCTCCTCGCCGGCCTTCCCGCCACCTCCCTCCACAAGCTGCAGGTCATTCAGAACTCTGCAGCTCGTGTACTGTCCCGCACCAGGCTTCGCGACCACATCACTCCCACCCTCGCTCGCCTCCACTGGCTCCCCATCCCCCAGAGGATTGATTTCAAGATCCTCATCCTCACCTACAAGGCCATTCACGGCCTTGCTCCCTCCTACCTCTCCAACCTACTATCCCCCTACCTACCTGCCCGTACCCTCCGTTCCTCTGGCTCCGGTCTGCTCCACGTCCCCCGCCCCAACCGCCCTACCATCGGTGGTCGGGCCTTCAGCCTCTCAGCCCCAGGCTCTGGAACTCCATCCCCCAGTGCCTTCGCCTTGCTTCCTCCCTTTCCTCCTTCAAGGCCGGTCTCAAAACCTTTCTCTTTGACCGTGCCTTCAGCTCCCCTCTCGACTCTCTTCCTCCTCCTCGCTCCCTCCCTTCCCTCCCCTCACCATTTCCCCCCTCCTCTCTCCCTCCCTTCCCTCCCCTCACCCTGACCATTTCCCCCCTGCTCGGGTCATGACCCAACTGTGCAGCGCCTTGGGACGTCCTCCTGACGTGAAAGGCGCTCTATAAATGGAATCTTGTTGTTGTTGTTGTTGTTGCTTCATTCTTCATGACTACCTTTGGTAGTCAGGCTTTCAGTCTTTCTGCCCCTTTTCTATGGAACTCCATCCCGGAATCCCTTCACCGCGCAGCCAACAATAATAATCCTTGCATTTGATATAACACCCATTGTATTGTCAAGACGTCTCAAAGCACTTCACAGGATTTTACTGCATTTTGAAGGCAAATGAGGCAGCCAATTTGCGTGCAGCACTGTCCCACAAATAGCTATGAAACGAATGACCAATTTTATCTGCAGGATTGTTGGCCATAAAATCGGGAGAGACTCCCTTTATTTTTCAGGTAGAGCCATGGAATCTTCACCTCAACAGGTAGACAGGACCTCAGTTTAATGCTTTGGTATTTCAATGCCAGCTCAGGAAAGACAAACTAGCATTAACTCAAGGTTAAAATCCTGCCATGAATTGGGGAATCGTCAAGAGCTGATTATAATGATTACCTACCAGGTTTTTCACTTATTATTTGCAATTGATAAATATTAACACTTTTTTTGTATCTATTTGTCTCCATACTTTGCAGGTTAAAGTTGTCAGTATAGTGACTGTTTTTTGTAGCCCACTTGATTGAAAGTCAGCAACCGATTCTCATAGAATCATAGAGCACAGAAGGAGCCATTAAACCCATCGTGCCTGTCCCAGCTCTTTGAAAGAGCTATCCAGTTAGTCCCATTCCTCCGCTCCTCCCCCATAGCCTGTGGTATAAAACCGCACACTTACTCGAGCGCCCCTTGTCTACGACAGGAATGTGAGATGATATCTTGGTTGGTTCTGCAGCTTTCCTCTTGTATGTTTTGGTTACTTTATCCACGTCCGGCTGCTTCCTGGTCATTTCTTCCATGAAATTCTGTGGTTAAAAGGTAAAATGAAACAATGAAGCAACAGGATGAATGGGAAAGTGCAGGGACACAACAATAGATTGCATTTATATTCAATGGAAAAGTAAAATATTTTCCGATGCACAAAGACAGCAGAACAAGAGGACACAGGATTGGGGTTACAAATGATGATCTCAGGACAGACACCAAGAAATATTTCTTTAAACAGAGGGTAATTAACGACTGGAACAACAAAAACAAATTTATATTTGTATAGCGCCTTTCATGTCGGGAGGATGTCCGAAGATGCTGGACAGTCGGAGTTTTGGACCCGAGCTGGCGGTCGGGATTGAGGAGGGTAGGGGTGGGAAGCAGGGTGATCGAAAGCATGGTCGAAGAAGAGGGTCTTGAGATGGGTCTTGAAGGAGGCAAAGGAGGGGGTGAGGCAGAGGGACTGCGTATGGAGTTCCAAAGGGGGGGGGGGAACAGAGTGGCAGAAGGCCTGCCCGCCAATGGTGGGCGGGCGATGCGGGGGAGCATGAAGCCCACTGAGCGAAGGGAGCTCTCAAGCGCTGATTCTTAAAATAGACGTGAGCAATGAAGTACAGAGAACAGACATTAATAATAATTCTTAGATATATATATCTGATATATATAATCCTTGCATTTGATATAGCGCTTTTCACGTCTTCTAGACGTCGCAAAGCACTTCACAGAATATACTGTAAATGGACTGTATATTTGTGGGCAAAACACGGTAGCGAATTGCGTACAGCAGTGTACCACAAACATCCCTTTTGTTTTTGCATACTATCCCCGGAAAAGCAATCTGCAAGTCGACTAATTATTGGGTTCCTACTTACTGCAAGTAAACAGAGGCGTGTGGATTAAGGAAACTTGCTCAACATTTCGCCCTGCCGGGAAAATAATCCAGGTCTCTCACTTGCAAGGCTCAATGATATATATAATAATAATCCTTGCATTTGATATAGCGCCTTCTCACGTCTACAAGATGTCTCAAAGTGCTTCAAAGAATATACTGTAAAATAAATTAATTATATTTTTTGTAAGCAAAACACGGTAATTAATTGTGCACAGCAGTGTCCCAAACCAGTTGTGGATTGAGTGATCAAATTAGTATTATGTTTTTTGAAGGGATTATTACCCCCGGAAAAGTCATATGTCCAAGCAACTAACAACCGGGTTTCTACTGATAGGTAAACAGAGGCGTGTGGAGTAAGGAAACTTGCCTAACATTTTGCCCTGCCCGGAAATTGAACTCGGGTCTCTCGCTTGCGAGGTGAGTGCTCTAACCAATACTCGACAGGTCTCCACTTGTTGAAACTTCTCAAAGAGCTTCACAGGGCTTTTCACACAGTACAATCACTGTCTAGTCACAGTAGTTTCCTACAGAGCGTAGGTCAACAGAAGTAGCCCATTCAGCCCCTTGAGCCTATTCTGCCAATCAACTCCATTTACCCTCCTGTTCTCCATATCCGTTTATACCCTGACCTAACAAAAATCTATCCACCTCAGTCTTGAAAATTTGACTGGATCCAACATCAAAAGCCTTTTGGGGGACAGAGTTCCAAATTTCCACTACCCTTTGCATGACAAAATGCTTCCTGATTTCACTCCTAAACGGCCTAGCTCTAATTCTAATTTTAAGATGATGCTCCAGCACTGTTGTGATTACCTGGTGCTCAGCAATCAGTGCTTTGACTTCGTCGATCTCCTGTGGGATAGGCTCTTGGTCTCGCTTGGTCAGTATGGTCTCTGCCCACTGCAGCCAACCCAGCAGGTTCTCCAGCAGCTCCTGGTTAGCAATAACCCCCGCAAGAGCCGCTTCCAGTCGCAGCTGATGCTGTTTGGCCCAAGCAGTCACCTGACATTCGACAGAAAAGCAAAGAACACAGCTATAACTCTCTTTTTTTTNGGCAGTTAAAAGTGTCGTGACAAGCAGCTCATTCAAGAATGTGTTGCTAATTGTTCCAGCAATTTCCCAGGGGCAGAGACAGCTTTGTAACTTGTGATGATCAGTAATGGCAATAAGGAGAAATAAGTTTTTTTTTGAGGGTTTAACTGAATGAGAGGCATCTGTGTGTGTACACACTGGAGCAAGCAATTCAAAGATATGGGATTGTATGTCAGCATGACCCAAACACTGAGCCAAGACTTAATTCCCGCCCTCCGCGCCCCCCACCCTCGGCCTTTAAATTACAAGCATGCATTCTATAAGATATCATTATCTTGTCAGTCACCTCTTCAAACCTGGCTCGGATTATTGTGATCCAGTGTTTGATGGTGGTGATGGAGTCTGGGTGGCAGATTGCTAGGATAGCTTCGCCCATTCCCACAGCCACGTTTAGCCCCATCCTATTCTCTTCCAGTTTCCTCACAAACTCCTGAGAAACAAAAGGAACACGTAAAGTGAAGTCGGAAACTGGCACCAACAAAAACTTATACAGCACCCTTCGTGCAGGGTCAGAGCAGTGCACAGTGTGGGTATCAGTCAGTCACATTTGACACGGCACCTTATTACGTCACCGAGATGTCTCAAAGCGCTTCACAGGATATACTGTAAAGTGGACTGACTGTGCATTTTGTGGATGAAACGCAACAGCCAGTTTGCACACAGCAGTGTCCCACAAACAGCCATGGAGTGAGCAACAAATTTTATTTGGGGGATTGTTGGCCAGGACACTAGGAGAGAGGAACTCCCTTTTCTTTTCAAATAGTCGCATGGGATGTTTAACATCCACCTGAACAGGCAGACGGCACCTCAGTTTAACGTCTCATCCGTAGGTGGTACCTGTTCTTGGTGATGGGAATGTGAATACACACATCAAGACGGAGACCAGGATGCCAGGAATGAGTCACATCTGATGTGAGGTGTCAGCCTGACCTGGAGCTGCTCTTACCTTGTGCTGATCTATGAGCGCACGCAGAGCCTCATCATCCTCTGGGAGAATGCCGTGGAAACGAAGAGCCTGTTCAGCCTCGGCCAGCCACTCCAGCAGCACATGCACCGCAGTGCGGAACTCCTCAGACTGCAACGGCAACACACGGTCTGTCAGACCATCCCACACCGGGCAGACTCGCATCAACAACGGCTTACAGCTACTTTATGAGTCAATTCACTTTACAGTCTATTCTGTGAAGCGCTTTAAGGCGTCTAGAAGATGTGAAAAGTGCTATATCAAATGCAAGGATTATTATTATATTATTATTACTTAGAAAGAACTCAGCCAGTTAAAACAAAACACAGAAACAGCAAATAGGCAGACCCGACCTCATCCAGAGACTCGATTGGCAACAACGGGACACTGTGAATTACATAATAATCCTTGCATTTTGATGTAGCCTCTTTCAGGTCAGGAGGATGTCTCAAAGTGCTTCACAGGTTATATTGTAAAGCATAGTGACTGTTTATTTTGCATAAACAATCGTTGCAGCTAATATGTACACGCAAATGTCCTACAAACAGCCATGAAGTGAATGATTAATGCTGTCTGGGGGATTGTTGGCCGGGACACCAGGCTTCACATTACTTGAAACATAACGCATGAGGTTGGAAGAAGCGAAGAAACAGAGAAGAGGAGAAGTGACTGACGGTAAAATAATTCTAACATTTAAAGGGAATCGAGTAAATCGTTCAAAGAATCAGAGGATAATGGAAAATGGGATAAGCCTAGAGTATGAGGGGCTGAATGGCCCTCTTTCCGTGCTGGAACTTTCTAGGATGGTATATTTTTTTAAAAAAAGTAACTTTGCTTCAAAATTTATCTTTTAGTTTTCGAAGACGACATGACAGTCCTGAAGATTGTGCTTAAGTGTGACAAATTCTTACGCTGATTAGTGTAGCCAGATTTGGGGATCTAAAGTGTGGAAGGAATCTGAGCTGGGATTTCTTCCGACCACCGTAAGTACAACAACTTGCACTTATAGAGTGTCTTTCACGCAGGAAAGCGGAGTGCTGCATTACATTGTTTTACTATGAAATCCCCTTTGAAATCGTCGCATCTTTGACTCCCCCCTCACCCATCCCCGTGCTGACATTTCATTCCTGTGCCTTATTTGCCTAAAGTGGGATTACCTGATTTAACGCCTGCTCCAGCCGGACTTGTTTGGATACTGACAGAGCACACACCGTTTCCCAGCGAGTGCTGAGCTCCTGCATTTGCACTTTGACCCAGGAGGAATCATCACGGCTAGACTCAGCCAGCTCACGGGCAGAGCGTTTCAGAGCCTGCACGCTGCTCGTTCGCTTGCCCAGCTCCTTCTGGAAGACCTGCAATGATAATAACAACCTTGCATTCGATACAGAGCCTTATCACATCTTCGAGGTGTCTCAAAGCGCTTCACAGGGTATACTGTGAAACGAATCGACCGTACAGTTTTTTTTATGTATGTTTCTTTTCTGTACAGAGGGAGCGATCGTGTGTTCATTCAGTCACGCACTCAGAAGGCCTTTGCAATACGGAGAGCGCCTCACACAGTGCGTGTCTCACACAGCACTAAATGCAACTTTGTCTAAGACGGTGTTGAAATTCATCCTTTTCTGATCAGCAAATTTCAATGTTACGGAAGTGGTTTTAGGAAATCGTGGCTTCAAAACTGTATTAATTCTCATAAGGAACAAACCTCCAACACTGCTGTTCACAAACTAGACTGGAAATGTTAACAGCAACTTCTATTCTCCCTTCTGCTTTCAATGACAGGCTTGAAATTCCACCGGTCTTAGGCTGCAGTTGTTTCTTAAAATTTAAGATGACGCAGACTTGTGTTCAGAATTCTTAAACTTAGAAGCTACTTTTCTGGAGTTCTTAAAAAGAACTGGCTTCACAGTTAAAAATTTCTCACAATTACACGCCGCCTTTAATGTGAGAGCAAAATGTCTTACAGGCTAAGACTGGGTGGAATTTGGGGACTATTGTTACTTACAGGCACTGTCCTCGTCATCACTATAAACATCCTTAAGAAGTACATATTTATTTACAACATCCACTGGCACTGTGATATACAATATAATTTTTATGATGTTGTTTGCATGGTAGGATCAATACTGTCCCCAATTGTTATCCGTGATACTGTCCTTTGCACTAAATATAGGACATGGCCAAGGTAATCCATCTGCTCTCTTGAGCAAAGGCTACAGAACAGATCCAAGAGCCAGTGGAAAAGGGGCTTTAAACATTAACCATGAAACATAATTAAAATGGGTCACTTGTCATGAGACACACTTGGCCTAATTTAATATGAGGCTCTAGCAAAGTTGATTATCGCCCTACCCGCCCCTCCAAATCCTGTCTCATCTTCTAGAAACATATTTGCACTTAGACCATTGTATCTAATAGCTTGTAAAGCTTGTGTACTATACTTTAGGATCCATATCTCTCAGTACCTTCAAAGTACTTTATATATTATATATATATAATCCTTGCATTTGAAATAGCACCTTATCACTTCTTCAAGACGTCTCTAAGGGCTTCACACAATATAGTATAAAGTGAATTGACTGTATATTTTGTGGCATGGCAGTGCCCACAAACAGTCGTGGATTGAGTGACCTATAAATTTTTTAAATTTTTTTAAAGGGATTATCATCCCCGGAAAAGCGATCTGCCAATTGACTTATAACCGGATTCCTACTTACTGCAAGGTAAATAGAGGTGCATGGAGTAAGGAAACTTGCCCAATGTTTCGCCCTGGCCGGGCATCAAACCCAGGTCTTCTTACTTGCAAGGCGAACACTGTAACCATTAAGCTACAGGAGAATCCGTAGCTTAGTGGTTGATATTTTATATATATATATTAAGGATTACTTCCACAATCCGCAGTAATACCAAAACTGTGGATGGATGAATCCTGGTCAAATGTCTTTCTAATCTCATTAGATAACCAGAATTTGGAATCCACCCTAATGGTCACACAGAGAAATAAACAGCTGCTACTGAAGCTCCTCTTCTACAACCAGTGAAACCATTACTTGATGGGTATGGATGTGTGTCTAAGCTGTGGGTTAGGAGGATGGTGACGATGCTCTCGTGCATTTCATGTTGAGTTATTCTGTTCACCAAGTTCTTGGTACATACTATCCAACTAACAGAGGCTGAAACTGGTGTTTACCAGATGTCCAGTGATCAACAAGTGAGTGTCCTTGTGGGGGTGAGGGGAGGAGGGGGGTGGGGGGGAAGGAAGAGATGAAGCAGGATTTCTTAGGGACTTATATGGCTCCAAGGTACCTGGGAATGGAATTGAATGGGATAGCTCAGATGGTCTTAGTAGACCAGTTCCTGAACCAGACAGGTCTACAGTACTGCAAGGCATTGTTGATGACTGTGGGAGTGATGTGGTGGATGTAGGAAGGGATTTCCAGAGGTTAGGGCCACACTTGCTGAAGGCTCGGCCACGAGTGATGGGAGAACGAAGAATGCCCAGAAGGCCTGAGTTTGCTAAGCAGAGGAGCAATTTGGAGCAGGTTAAAGAAGTGAGGAGAGGAAGGTGTTTCCGCTGTTCAGATGGATTGCAGGAGTTCATGAAATCAACAACAATGTCCTTCACGATTCTCGGAACTCTTAAAAGTGGTAGAGCCTGACGCTGAGCCAGGGGCAGGGAGGAGATGACAGTAAAAGAGGGGAAGGAGGGGGCAAGGCAGAGGGATTAGGGGAGAGAGTTCCAAAGCTTTGGGGGGTAGTGGCTGAAACCCGATTGTGGAATGGAGAATCGAGGGACAAGCAGGAGGCCAGAGCGAGCTAAGCAGAGGTAGCGGGTAGTGGAGTGGGGAGAAACGAGGTCAGAAAGGTAGGAAAGCGCCAGGGAGTGAAAGGATTTGTAAACTTGAAATCGATCCATTCTGTGATAGAGAGCCAGTGAAGCCTGGCGAGAACCGGTGTGATGTGGATACGGAGACATTAATACCTTGTGCGCATCAATCAGGTTCATCACCAGGTCCAGGTCCCCGTGAACAGGCTGGTCCTCGGCCAGCATGGGCTCAATCTTGTACAGCCAGTCAATCAGAGCTTGTAGGGCATCTGTAAACTGGCCAGAAAACAGCAGCGCTTCCTCCAATTTGTTCTGCCTGAAAGGACAAATTAGAAAGGGCGTTCCTTATTCAGGCAAACCAGACAACAAATATAACACAAGTCAGTGGTTACGAAACTGGACCGTCTCAAACGCTCAACACACAACTTATCATTTTAAAGTGCAATAACTAATGATATGTCATCACTTAACTTGTGCCAGCAATGTCACACAACTGACACTGAGATGAATAACAAATAAGAGCTTTTCTTGCTATAACGATAATAATAATAATTCTTGCATTTGATGGCGAGCTGCACGGAGTCAGTTTTTTTTGGAAAGAAAGAGAGCGATCACTTGTTCTGGAAAAGAGTTCTTTTCGTTTTAGTTCCAAGACAAAAGGATAAGTGGTGTGGGGGAAATAGAGATCGATTCTGAGAAAGTATCTATGATCAGCGGGGTGAGTAAATGTGGATGGGAAACAGAAAGGATGCTTTATGAAGCCACTTGTAAGTAGTAAAATAATATTCCTTGTGTTGGATATAGCATCTTATTATGTCAAAGTGTCTCAAAGTGCTTCACAGAGTTTTTGGTAAAGTGCAGTGACTGTGTATTTGTCGGTGAACTTGGAACACAGCAATCAAGAGGTTTATTCCCTAATTTACCTGGAGGTTGATTCCCTACTTTAACCAGCACCAGCAAAAACTCCCTGCACCTTTTAAACAGTGCCCTGGGATCATTAACATCCACCTGAATAAGACGTATGGGAGTTTGGTTTAAAGTTTAACTCCTCACCCGAAGCCAGCATCTCCGAAAATCTAGTGCTGCCATAGTACTGCTCGAGTGTCGCACAACTATGCACAAACCAGGAACAGTCGCTCTTTATTCTCTAAACTATCTTATGTTTATACATTCATATTTGCTCTGGTCTGGTTGCTGGAACAGTGAAGTCAAGAAAGTCTGCCAACTGTCAAACACAAATCTCGTCAATGTAAAACCTGTTTAGTCATTTTGTAAAAGTATTTATTTAAAATAATAACAATAATCATTCTTACACTTGATATAGTGCCTTACCACAACATCAAAATGACTCAGAGCTTCACAAGATTCACTGTAAGATGTAGTGACTGTGTATTTGTAGGTCAACTTCATATGTAGCGAGAGAAATATAAAGGGCTTTTCAATTAATTCGTACTTTATATTTAAAAACACGACAATGTCTTAAATTGGTCCATACAATTGATGGAAACTATTCAATGGTTTAGTTTTAAAAGATAGGAAAGATAATTTAATGTTTTCATTAAAATTTCAAAATATAGTCATTCGTTTGAGAGCTAGAAGGATTGGGATTCTGGTAGCTGAATGTATAGCACACACACAACATCTTGCACACACATATTACAAGATGAAATTGGTTGAAGAAGGCCTCACAGCCCATTAGATTTCGCCCACAAAATATACTGTGAAAGTACATTACTGTCCTCCCATTACAGCATGTTCCAATTGTTAATTAAATTAACAATTAATTAATTTAGTTAAAGAAAAAAATCTTAGTGTCTGCCCTGAAATTCCCTTTACAACTCGAAACCTATTGTCCTCTTGCTCTACTATCTTGGTGCATCGTAAAGCGATGTTCTTGGATGGCTTATTTAATCATATTTAAAATGTTTTACATAGACATGACTAAAGTACTCCGGGGCACCAATCAATCAGTGGCCAGCCCTGCGTGGCTCACCAGTGGGACTTTGAATTAGGTGGGTCGCTGGGAACAGGATTTAGCCTGCTTGGCTCCTACTGATATAATAAATGAAAGCCCTAACAGTCAGAATTGTCCCATCTAGAAGCTTACCAGTGCTTTCCACTGAGAGGTGCAGCTGCTTCAATAACAGCAGTGCCTATGATGTGCACTTTCTGGCCATTAAAACCTTTGCGTCTGCCAACCAGCATTTGTGTTCTTGACATAGAGATTGCACACCTCGGCCTCACTGAAACTGTGGCAAACCAAGGCGTCAGGTATCCCAGCTATCCTTCTTACCCCACATCTGCTCCCTGACCAGGACCGCTTTTCTCCACCTGATTCTGAGGCCCACGTCTGAGCATACCTCACACCCAACGTAGCTGAAACCCTTATTCACCCATTCGTCATTTCCTGCTTTGATTTTTCCAATGCCCTCCTCATCAGTCTCCCCAGCTCCTCCATTCACAAAATCTAATTAATTGAATACTCCACTGCACGTATCCTCATCAGCAACAAACTCCGCTCGCCCATTGCCCCAGTCCTTGCCAGGATCCACTGGCTCCCTATTCAGAACAGATCATTTTCAAGATCCTCACACTCACTATAAATCATTTTACACCCTGACGTCTCTCTCAGCCTTTCCAACTTCTTATACCCCAGTCCTCTATCTTCCCCTTCGCTCACCTGGCTCCGGCCTCCTACATATCCCTCGTCCAATCCGCTCCACCACTGGTGGCCGTGCCTTCAGCCATTACCCCTCTCCAAACTATGGTATTCTCTACCTCATTCTCTCTGTCTTGCTCCCCTTTGGCTCATCTTCTGACTGCACTCTTCACCTGTGCCTATGGTCACCTTCCCTCTCTCCCCAGCTCAATGCTAAGCAGTCAGAGGATGCATCGTCAATGGCTCTGTATTAACGTTAGTGGTTGTTGTTGCACTCTCAGGAAAGTGGCAAACACAAACTCTGCTTGTAGAACTGAGGAGCTTTAGGAGCTGGGCCCTGAAGTTCATTAACATTCACACGTCAGACTCCTTGTCGGCCAAACAACAGCACATCAATAGCTTGTATGTCTGAGGCTCATTACAAATCTTCTCCAGCTTGTGCTCCTCAGACAAACACTGTCTGTCTCTCTCTATCTCTCTATATATCAAGCTTGCCCTTTCAATTACCAAGCTAGTTTTCAATTGAGCCAAATTGTAATTAATTCCTGCAAGCTCTTATCGTCCCACATGTCAACCTTTATCAATGGTCTCCTGAAATTCCTAGTGCATAATACCCATCTGCAGAGCTCTAGCCCGTTAATTTCATTACCTCTTCAAATTGGTCAGCTATGACCTTTTGCTTCTAAAACTATTTTGACTCCCACGCATGTACTCTGGTCTCTTTAAACACCAATAAGAAGCGCTGAAGCATATTCTCCATTACGGATCTTAGGTTAACTAGTCTGATCTATAACTCTTGTGAGCATCGGGTGACATTCACTTTCCTCCAGTCAACAGAGAGGAATGAACTTACTTTTTTATTGCGTCTTACTGCAATGCATCAAATGCATCTTAATAGACCTCACAAGTAATTGCTGTACTGTAAGCAAACCATTCGCACACAGCAAAGTACCACAAACAGCTAACAACAACTTTAAACTTTCAGCCCGTCTGCCCCACTCCCTGGAACTCCCATGTCGGAGTCACTTACTTCCTTCGAGGACCATCTCAAGACCTTTGTCCTCGACTACTCTTTCAGTCATTTCCCCACTCCCATACTCCTCAGCTCCCATCCCCAGCTCGGGTGCAAACCCCTCAGCTCCCACCCCCAGCGTTTCGGGATGTCCTCTTGACATGAAATGCTCTATATAAATTTGTTGTAATTGTTGTGTGGGTCGAGATGAACTCCAAGATTTTACCTGAAATTGGAGCAAATAACTGTGGTGAAATCTTGGGAGTGAGGGGGCGGAGGAGCGTTAGGAGGGTTTGGGAGAAGATGGAAGTTCAGTTCCACGGCCACTCTTTAGAAATGAAATGAAAAATGTGGTGTTTGATAATAGATTTATAATAATATTAATCCTTGTATTTGATATAGCACCTTATCACATCCTTGCAACATCTGACAATGCTTCACATACCATATTGTAAAGTGGATTTGAGAACGCATTCAATAAAATATCCAATCTGTTAGGAAATGCCCCAGCTGTCTTAATTTGCTTTCATTTCACATAGAGAGATATCAGACCAATTCCAGTTCTTTACCTTTCCACTGACTTTCCACACACGGTGTCCCACTTATCCCTCAGCTCACTCAGCATGTCGTCCAGCTTCTGGTGATCATCGGCCAGAGTGCTCTTCTCTTTCAAAGAGCGCCCAGTCCTTATTGTGGTGTCGTACACAGAATGTTTGGCTCCCAGAGCTTTCTGAAACTCCTGCATCCAGAATGAGACAAGAACATACGAATTGTTAGATGAAAGAAATTGAAGGTCCATCCAGTTCATCTTCTACCATCCTGGCAGTTGCATGCACATATCGTGCCCCAAACCATATTATTTCTTAAAAAGATATCCATCTAATTTGCTCTTGAACGAATCCACACTTTCTGGTTCCACCGTCTCCCTTGGGAGCCTGTTCCATACATTTACTACTTGCAGACTGAAATAGAGATTTTCGCAGATTTGTTTTGGATTTATCCCTCTTCAATTGCAGGACATGTCATTTGGTTCTACTGTTCTGGGCAAAATAAAACAGCTTATGATGATCTATGTTATCCAGTCCATTTAGAATCTTAAAAACCCCTGTCATACTACTATCATAAAACACTAATACAAACAACTCTTACATTTTGACACACAGCCTTATCGTGCCATTGAAAAGTCTCAAAGTGCTTCATAAAGTTCCAGCAGAGTGCAGTCACTGTGGTTTGTCAGTGAACTTGGCAGTCAATTTGCATTCATAAATACCCCAACAGCCATCAAGTGAATGACCCAATTTTATCTGGGGAAATGTTCGGCAGGACAACAGGTAGAAACTCCCTTCCGTTTTCAAACTGAGTCATGTCATGGGTACTTTAACATCCGTCTGAACAGCAGACGGGACCTCAGTTTGGACGTCGCACCTAAAAGACTAATCAACCATACAAGATAACAAAAGCAATTGAAACTGTTCAAACGTCAATCAAGTACAACGATGGGAATAATTCACCAGTCAGGATCAATAGCTAAACAGTTTTCCCATCCCCAATTTTCCTTGTGTTCTGACATAAGTGGTAGTTTTTTTTTAAAAAAAGCAGGCTTTCCAAAATTAAAAGTAAATGTGTTTTTTTTAAGCGAAGAAAACATTTTGTTTCATTTATTTCGGTATCTTATGAACTGGAGATTACAGCTGTCATGCTTTTCATTGAATTCTCCAGCTGTGGCCCCATTCCCTGAGCTGCCGCTGTTCAACTTTGCTTGAAGCAGAAGGTCGCAACCTGACCTATAATGGATGTTTAAACCAATTAATTACCTTGTGATGTGAAAGCTGCATCTTTACTTTGTCTGGATCATTGGCAATTTCAAGGTCCGAATCCAGGTTCCTCTCTGAATCTTCCAACCATTCCATCAATTTCTTCCAGGCTTCTTGGAACTGTTACAAATGACATAATTACCAAACACTCAACAACAGCTTTCAATTTTATAACATTTTCATTTTTAATGTTCATCCAAAAAGGCAAACGGGACCTTGGTTTAATGCGTTATCTGAAGGACAGCACTTTGTTTTGGTCAGCCAGGTATTTGACACATGCAGAAACCCACCAGCATACTTAAGAATATCCAAACCACACAAAGGTCTGCATATATGCCACCAATGCTTGGAAATTTCAGTGTGTTTGGAATATCCCTGCTGTTGACCTATCCCAGAGAACATTAGGTGCAGGTTGGTGAGAGCCAAGGTTTTGGGACCCCATAGTGTGCTCTGGGATACTGCTGGGAGTCCAACCAACTAAAACCACATGGTTTGCCATTGAAAGCACAGTCTGGCAAGCTTTCCGGTGATTGTCCACCTTGGACTATTTGCTAATTGGGGTTTTGGCTTGGTAAGTTAACCAAAGACAATCCTTGTTCCCAGTGACTGGCCTAGATTTCCAAGCCATGCTGGCAGGTTGATCATAAGTAGTGCCCTGGAGTACCATGGACCCGCCTGGCTCAAGAATGTGACTGCCTAGACTACCACAGAGGGTTGAATCAATTCTTACATTTTGTGAGGAGAAATTCCTCCCAGATGCCAGTGATAACTAGCAATTGCTTTTGGTTAATTGATTTGCTAAATGCCATGTGAAAATATCACATACTGCATCAACCACAAGCGCCCCCTCCCACCCCCACACACAGACACACGAAAGGCTCAATACTACTCTAACCAGAAACCAGCACCTTTACCTGTTTAGCACGTTTCCTTGCATCATCCAACGCTCTTCCTCGATCGACAGATCTCTGCACCACCTTCTCCCATCGGTTCTGGACACTGATCAGCAGGTTCTTAATGAGCACCACATCCTGCTTCTGACTGAAGTACTTCAGGTGGGTTCCAGTCTTGTCCAATTCAATGATTTGCTCACGGTGTGAATTGACCTCATTGGCAAACACCTTCAAATATCAAAACATTCTAGCAATCTCCATGTGATTCTTCAGTGCCTCATTCCTCAAAAAGTGACTTAAAATAATCCCAAAAGTAATTGAAGGGGAGGTATGTAAAGCATCTCTTCATACAGAGGATGGCAGAAATATGGATTTTTGTGCCATAGCTGTTTTTGAGGCGAGACCATGAATTATTTTAAAGGGAAGTTAAATAGAAGCTTGAAAAATTAAGGAATATTGTCAGTATAACAAGAACAACAAAATTACATTTGTAAAGCGACTTTCACGTTGGGAGGACATCCCAAGGTGCTGGACAGACAGAGGTACGGAGCCGAGCTGGGAGTCGGGGAGGGCTGAGGGCAAGGGGGGGAAGCAGGGAAATCGAAAGCATGGTCGAAGAGGTGGGTCTTGAAGGGAGGGGGCGAGGCAGAGGGACTGCAGCATGGAGTTCCAGAGGGTGGGGGCAGAGTGGCGGAAGGCCCACCTGCCAATAGTGGGGCGAGTGAGGCAGGGGACATGAAGCAGGCCGGAGGCCGCTGAGCGTAGGGAGCGAGCAGGATGGTAGGGGATTAGGAAGTCGGAGAGTGCTGTGATGGTGAGGCCCAGGATCTTGAACTGTATCCTATAAATAGGATATTGTATCCTATAAATAGCGAGCAGGAAGTGAGATTAGATAGCTCAAGTTTGGAAAAACATCAGCGTAGACTGGATAAGGTGAATGCTGATAAGCTGTTTCCACTTATTTTTGTGTTCAAAACTAGAGGATATAAATATAAGATAGCCAATAGCAGATCTAAACGAGTTTAGGAGGAACTTCTTCACACACGAGGGTGGTGAGACTGTGGAGCTCACTGCTGGAAACTGTGCTTGAAGCAAAAAACATCATTGTAATTAAGAGAAAACTTGATGTATAATTGAGGGAGAAGCGAATAGAATAAGTGATGGGGAATGTTGGGGGTTTGTGTGGAGCATAAATACTAGCATGGACTGGTTGGGCCGAATCGCCTAATTCCATGTTGTATCACTCTTTGCAACTCCAAGAGTTTACGAATGACAATTCCTTTTCTGAAAAAAATATAGAAATACCTTGTGCTCGTCAACCTGGAACAGAACTGTGTCCATAATGAGACTCGGTGGGGAGGCTAACGTCAAAGTTTGCTCCGCTTGCGTCAGCCAGTTGATGAAGTCCTGAAGGGAATTGTGGAACTCCATGGCCAGATTGAGGGCCTCTTCCAGTTTGACCTGCACGTAATGAGAAGCTGATCAGCTGGCTCCTTTGTTGTCTTCAAAGTTCAACCAAGTTTACTAACCTTAGGGTTAGATGGCTTCCTATTTTGGGCACTCGTTGTCAGAATCAGACCATAGCAATAACAACTTGCATTTATATAGCGCCCATCATGCAGGGCAGCGTCCCAGAGTGCTTGACAGTGGCAGAGCACAACGCCAAGCCAGGGGCAGGGGGAATGACCGTAAGCACAGTCGAATAGGAAAGTCTTCAGGCACAACCTGAAGATGGGGAAGGAAGGGGCAAGGTGGAGGGATAGAGAAAGAGTGTTCCAGAGTTTTGGGGCACCGTGGCTGAAAACACAGTTAATATGCAGCGTAAACCCTCTATTGTAGACCAATGTTTCACACCCCAACCTCAGAAAAGTATCTCCATCTACATCTACAATCGAGTACGTAGGGGGGAATGGACTTATGTTCAGAAGAGAGATGAACAGATTTAACCACTTCACCCAGAATATATTGAACACAGGGCAGCCAAACAGACACATATCAATGAATACAGTAAAGCTTTGAATAACTATTTAGCAAAGAAATCAAGTGAGGCAGGTCAGCGTATGAGTGGTTTTATGTACTTCAGGACTGGCCACATATGCAGTAATGGTCTTCACTCGACTGGAACATTGTTGTCAAATTAGTTTGATCCTTTCACATTAATATTACATTTGCAGTTTCACAGTTCTGTAAGTCTCACTCTCTCTTCACACCCTCCTCTTCAACCCTTTTCTTTTCAATCCCCTCCCCATGCTCATTCACTAGGAACTGATTTGGGAGTATCCAAGGTAGGGCTCTTATACCAAACAGACAAAGTCCTATCTCTTCAGATATAATAGGATTCAAATTCAAATCAATGTTGTAGAAAAAACTTATTTTCTACAAACGTATTATGCACAACACTGGAGTGGGAAAAAATAATTGATACCTAATGAAGGGATTTACAAATCTATTACGAAACCTTGTATTTGTCCCATGAATGACACCAAATTTTTAGGACACGCTCCAAAGATGGAATTCCACTTCAACAAACAATCGTGATCCACCAAAAAAAGTGACAAAATGTGAAAACCATGAACTTTTTTAAGTTAATACTTCCCATTGATTAAAAAAAAACACAGCGTTTTTCCAGCCCACGGACTTTGTACCTTTCGTTCATTGAGTTTAGCTTCGACCGATTCCCATCGTTCCTTCAAATGGTTCATGTCCTGCTCCACACTGCTGTCAGCAATCTCTTCACAGGAGAGACGTCCCTTGTCTATCAGGTTGGTGTAGATTTCTTCTTTGGTTTTAAATGCGGCACATAACTCCTACATGATTATATAAGTAGATCACGTTGAGTGGATATGGATTTGTATACATATAATCACCAGATTCATTATATCAGGTGGGGATTATAATTAAATCACTTTTACCTGGTGAATGAGATAAGCATCTTGAGCAATTTTATAGTCCCAGCTGCACAGTTAACACCAGGTCAAACGAGTACAATTACTCTAGGCATTAACATTTGTTACAAGTCAGAACATTAGTTCAGATACCCCCAAAATGATAAGGAGACACATCCAGAAGTAGACCACAATGATCCAAACTAACATTTCCCTCACAATCCCATTTGCTTCTTTTCTTTATTACTTCTCTGACTGAAACTTTAATGGACTTTGTGGAGCTCTGTAACTAAATCATCTCTATTCCAAAGTCTTTGTTCCTAAATAATACGTACCACATGGGCATTAACCTGCTCTCGGGCTGTTTCTGGCAAACCCCCAACAGGCTTGGATGCTGTGAGATGGCGTTCTGTTTCTGTCAGCCAATGCTGCATATCTTCAATCTCATTGTGGAAACCTTGCGCCTGCAGATTAGATACGAGAAAGAAAGTGCATTAGATACTCTGGTGAGCAGAACAAGTCCAATCAACTTTCCATCTTTAAACAGGTTTTTCCAAACTGTTAAATTGGAGTCATGTGACGGAACCATGGAGGCGTGTTTCAGTGGAGGTGACGTGCCATGGAAAGATGGAGTAAATTGCTTCCTCGAAACTTGGAAAGGAAATTCGAAATACACATCTTCCGTGCATCTTCAATAGTTCAGGAACACAAGACAAGTTGAAACTATCTCAGGCAGTGAGATATCTGATCAGTTTGTGTCAATTGGTTGGGGTAGAACAGATTTTTCTCTTCCCACCTCTCCGCAAATATTAACTGATATGAATTTTGACCTTGTGTTACCCATCAACATCAAGTCAGGACAGCCAAATGTTCAGCCTTTTGTACCGCTGAACTAAGTGTGCACGTTTTACTACTGCCACCCTAATAATAATCCTTGCATTTGATATAGCATCTTATCACGTTGTTGAAGTGTCTCAAAGTGGTTCACAAAATACACAGTCAATCCACTTTACACTCTAAATCTCTAATCACTCTAAAGTGGATTGACTGAGTATTTTGTGGGTGAAACGTAACAGCCAATTTCTTACAGCAGTGTCCCACAAACAGTCGTATTTTTTGGAAGGGGACTGGAATTATTACCTTCGGGAAGCAATCCATCAATCGACTAACAACCAGGTTCTTATTTACTGCTAGGTAAACAAAGGTGTGCGGAGTAAGGAAACTTGCCTAACATTTTGCCCCGCCCGGGAATTGAACCCAGGTCCTCTTGCTTGCGAGGCGAATACTCTAACCATTACACTACAGGACTGTGTATTTTGTGGTCGAAACGCAGACAATGCTCCAATAACAGTGGAGCATTTCCAAATGAAGGTATGCTAATGTGAACTGTGCTACACAGTGCAAGGCATGGCCTTCCCACCTCGATAAGAGCTTTGCGAAGCTGCTGCTGCCGCTGGACGGTTTGTTCCAGTACACTCTTCCAGCGCTGGTTCAGGCTGTCCAGCTTGCTCCGCAGGCTGCTGGCTTCCTCCCCAGCATTTGATTCGATCAGATCATTTCCAGCTTTGTTCACAGCCTCCACTGTGGACGTGTGGGCGAGCACATCGTTTTTCAACACCTGGCACACAAAGACACTCGGTCAGAAAAAGCTCGCTGAAACCTGATCGGTGGTCCTGTAAATTGATCACAGATGCACTACAACAACAAATTGCATTTGTACAGCGCCTTTGATGTTGGGGGAAGTCTCAAAGCGCTGGATAGTCAAGGATGTGCACCTGAGCTGGGGGTTGTGATCAGGAGGGGTGGAGGGCAGGGAAGGTGGGGGTAGAAGGGTAACCAAGGGCGTGGTGAAGAAGGTCTTGAGACATGCCTTGAAGGAGGCAAGGGAGGGCGTGGGTGAAGGGACTGTGGGATGTAGTTCCAAAGAGTGGGGGGAGAAAGGCTGAAGGCCCTACCGCCAATTGCGAGTTGGGCAGGGGAATGTGGAACTCTAAGACTCATTTGATAGGACCTGTCAGGCTGGTCAATTATCAACGATGGATTACTGGAGATGTGCATAGAGCCAGTTCAACCTCGGGAAAACACCTCTTACCTTTCTGTCCAACCTTCCCCCCCACATACACCGCCCCCCCCAGGGATTCTTTCTTTCCCAGGAGGATTTTAACATATCAACCCTAATCAAATTTGAAAGGTAAACCCAGCATTTTCTGGTCTCAAGTCCAATGCTCAAGCAACGGAGCTGATTGGTATGATCCTGTGGTTATTCAATAGGATATTGTCTTACAAAAATTAATTTGGTGACAAAATTCAAGGTTTAGATTCTCGATTGCAATGTTTGAATAAGCAACATTGGTTGCTGGAAAACTTTTTCCTTAATATATATGAAAAGGTATGACATTATGTCAGTGATGTAATTTAGAGGCAGATTATACACATAACATGGTATCCAACATATCACTCTAGCAAATCAGTTCTCTCTAACAGAAGGACTTCAAACACAGGTTTAAACAGTGAAAGTTCAAAGCCTAATAGTAATACATACATGATGTTTGGCGATTCCGATTTCAATAGCTTTAGGATCTCCCCCAACAGCTTTCTGTTCGTTTAATAGCTCCTCCGTGTGTGTCAGCCATGCCAACAGCTCATCCAGGGCGTGCTGGAACTGTCCCAGAGCCAACAGGGCACCCTCCAGTTTATGCTGCAATTACAGAAGCATCTGCAAATTACCATCACGCTGGAGTGAATTGCAATTAAACAATTCAGCTGGTTCAAACGCAACCAAGAATATCACAGAGCCTCCTCTCCTTAAATGTAACACAGCCAGGAATAATTCCAAAACTGCTCACCTGTTAAATCACCTGTGAATTGAACGTACTTCAAAGCACAAAATTCCTCAAGAACTGATTGTACTTAAAACTCCTGTAGTATGTCAAGAATATATTGTGCTTGAAAGCATTCAGTACACAAGACTGCACTGCATCTAAAAGCATTTGTTCGACACAAGGATGCGTTTTACTTCAAAGTGTGCATTGCAGAAAGGAGGTTCTGTACTTAAAATCGCAAAGTTCATCAAGAATACATTGTTATCTAAAATTGCACAAGTGCAGTAACAACACATTGCACCTAACAGCATGTGTTGTCACAAGGATGTATTTCAAAGCATGCTCTTTTGGGGGTCAGCCTGGTGTTGTGACATATGCAGGAACCCGTTACAATCCTTAAGCGTATCCAGACCAAACAGAATTCCATGCATCCCACCTACACATGGAAATTCCGCAGATAAATTGTTGAAATGGACTGCACACTTCCTGCTTACCTAATTCCGGAAGATATTAGGTGCAGGTTGGCAAGAGCCAAGACTTGGAGATCCCGGAGTGTGCAGTGGGGGAACTGCTGGAGTCTAACCAGCTAAAACTGCATAGATATCACTGGAAAAGCATGCAATGTGGCAAAGGTGCATTGTACCTAAAGTAGCAGTGCAGCAAGGATTCTCTTGAGGCACCCTCCCCACAAGGTTTCTATGTTGCTTCGACAATCCCAGCCTTGGCACTGGGGTCCAATCTGCAGTGATTTCAAACTGGATTTCCAAAATAAAGAAAACCGAGGGGGGAATTCCTTCCAATAACTGGTAGCTTATCGCACCAAAGCACAGGAACTCCGCCAAAATAATATTAACAATCCTTGCATTTGATAATAGCACCTTATCCCGTCGAGACATCTCATAACACTTCACAGATAATACTGTTAAGTGGACTGACTGTATATTTTGTGGGCGAAATGCTGCAGTCAATTGAAAGTATTTGGTGTATTTCACATGAAAGTAGTTTGCGTCAGAGCAGAGTTCCTGTAATGTAACTCTGATTTAAATCATTGAGTAATCCCATAGTCACCAACTCCCTCCCTCGTTACCTGTCTGTTAACAATTTTCTCATCCAGATTTTCCCAGAAATGCTTCAGCTCGTGGAGAGGTTCCTGCACCACGCACTTGTCTTCCTCCTCAGTCACTTTCTTCAGCAGCAGCTCTCCCTGGTGATTCAAGCGTTCCATCTCTATCTGCTGCTGGTACGCCTCTGTCTTAAAGTGCTGACAAACACCAGAAGTACGGAAACTAGAATCAGTAACTTTGAGATGGGCCTTGAAGGATGCAGGGGAGGGTGTGAGGCAAAGGGGTTGCGGGATGGAGTTCCAAAGGATGGGGGCAGAGAGACTGAGGCCCGACCTCTCGTGGGGGACTAGTGGGGCAGTCAGTGCGGGTGACATGAAGCAGGCAGAGATCACCGAGGGGAGGGAGCGGACAAGTTGATATGGAGTTAACAGAAGTAGGGACAAGCAAGGTCATGGAGGGCTTTGAAGGCAAGGTCGATGATTTTGAACTCTATCCTCTGGGAGATGTGGAGCCAGTGGAGCTGGGCGAGGGTGGGGGTGATGGGTTCATTGAGCCTGTGCAGGAGAAGACATGAGCTGCAGAGTTCTGAATGATCTGTATCTTATGGAGAGAAGAGTTGGGAAGATCTTTATTTACCTTTAGCTCATGAATTTGCAGCTTCACAGTCTCCAGATCCGTGCCGACTGGAGACATTTTGTTCAATTTTGTTTCCGCAATGTCGATCCAGTCAAACATGGCCTGAGATAAAGAGAATGTTAACACGTTTTGCAATTAAAAATAACAAATGATAATCCTTGCATTTAATGTCGCCCCTTTCGTGTCAAGAGAACATGTCAAAGTGCTTCACAGGATTTTTACTGTAAAATATAGCGACTATGATTTTATAGTCCAATACAGCAGCCACATATTGGATGACTGATTTTATCTGGAGGGATCGTTGGCCATGACACCTTCTCTTTTCGAATAGTGCCATGGGAACATTAACATCCACCTAAATAGGCAGACAAGATCTCAGTTTAACATCTCATCTAATGGACAGCACCTCCAACAATACAGACATTGTAATGTCTACAGTCTGTAATGTCAGCTTAGAGATCAAAAACTCAGTTAGCTCCAATATTTAGTCAGTTTGTGCCATACAATTATTGAAAAGCATAAGACCCGAAATGCCATCTAATGTAAATCTGTTTATACCATTTTGTTTTGAAATGTAAGTTGGCACAAAGCTATGGAAAATTCAATTCAGCTTTAGACGGCGATTTTCTACAGTCCGTAAATAGAAACTGGCTTCTGATGGATGTGGATTGAGGAAATCAGTAGGATCATTTCTGACATTCTGTCTCCCCTCCGCTATCTGCTAAACATCTGACAGAGGAAGGCTGAAGATCAAGCCTTTCAGCAGAGGAGGAAAGAAAAGAAACTTCCTTTCTGCAGCTTATCCGGCAAAATTTCATGTACTGTATGCTTCACTGAACTTGAATAGCAGATATCAGGCAGCAAGCTATAGACAACATTAACCCTGGAGTGCAACACAATGTTATACCTGGAGTGCATCTTGGAACTGAACTGCATCCAGCATTGCTTCATTGAGCCTATCAATACGATCCTTCCACGCCTTGTTCAGGTTATCCCAGGTAGCGCTGAGCTGTAAATAGGAGCGTGAGTTAATAACCTTGAAAACACTTGTTATGCACCCATCAAGCCCTGTGTTGTCCCTGGCTGAAAACTCTAAATAGTTAATCACATCACAGACACCTATTCCTTTGTCCATAAGTCAGGATTCGTATCATACATTCACTCTGTTGTTGCGTTTACTCTGCAGTGAGTGCCTTACTGTATGATGATGTGGAAGGTGAAGCTGCCCACAACACACCAACACAACAATACAGACTAAAATCATTTGCTAAAAGTAGGGTAGAAATGGTAAGGAATGTCTTCACTTAGAAGGCTAGTAGCATTTGGAATTCATTGCCACAAGCAGGTATTGAGACTTGATGAATGTGAATAAAGAAGAACCAAATAAGCACAAGGCAATAAAAAAAAATTACATTTATATATTGCCTTTCACGTCAGGAGGATGTCCCAAGGCGCTGGAGATAGGGTTCGCACTGAGCTGGGGGTTGGAAGCAAGAGAGGTGGAGGGTACGGGAGATGGGAAGGTGGCCAAAAGCACAATCAAAGAGGAAAGTCTTTGAAGGCGGCCCTTGAAGGAGTAAAGGGAGGGGACGAGGTGGAGGGATTCCGGGATGGAATTCCAGAGGGTGAGGGGAAAAAGTTGGAAAATGGGATTAACAAAAGAAAGGCTGGTTTAGTAATACAGGGAGCATTGGCCTAGATTCTCTGAATGGCCTCCTGTGTTTCACGTTTAATGCAACACAGCAGTAACTGAAAGCTACACCTTTGAATGGGAAAATGAAGCAGAGCTTTGTACAACAGCCAGCATCCCAGTGTACAGGATTATCTGGGGAGGGGGGCGGAAAATCGCACCTCATCAATGTTCTTCCTCACTATAGGCTTGTCGGGTTCCCCACAAGCAACGGTGAGCTCAGCTCCCAGGTTCTGCACGATTTCCAGCTCCTCTTGAAGTCCGTCCACTTCTTCCTTGATGGCCTGGACAAGAAAATGACACTTAAAGTCTATAAAACCGGAACAACCGTACATTGTGAACGCTGGTCCTTCGCACATTCAAATTACTCATGCAAAATGCAATGCAATACCATTGGCACTGGTCTGCTTTAATCCCCACCTCCCGCCCCATCCACCACCATTGCTGGGCAAGCTTTCACCTGCTCTCTGGAACTCCATCCCAGAATCCTTTGACTCGCCACTCCCCACCCTCCTCACTTTCAAAGCCCCCTTGCAAGGCAAGGCATACCTCTTTGACTGCGCTTTCAGGCATCTTTCCCCACCCCACCTGACCTTTCTTCAGTCCGCCACGCACGGCTCGGGTACACAGCTCGCAGAGTAAACTGCTTTGGGACATCAATGTAAATTGTACTGTTGTATTGTACATTCGTACAATTTACATTCATACAATTTACATTCATACACTGCCTTTCACTTCGGGGCGGGGATGCTGGTGGTGGTTGGAGAGAATGTCCGAAAGCTCCTCACACAGCTGGCTGGGCACCCGAAGCCCAACTTCCTTGAACCACTTGGCTCATGTGAAAATGCTTCACCCTCAATTAAAATGCTTGTATTCCTTCCGGCTGCATTGGTTGTGGCTCTGAAATTGCTTCTCGCTCTGAAATTGCTTCCAATTGCTTTTTAATCGCGCAGAATTTACAAGGTACGAAGATTTACGGAACAATGAGAGAGGTTTATTCATTTCTCCCTCTCCTCAGCATTATTTCCAGTCTGGTGAAACCTGTCAAAGAATTATTGTACTGTGTATAGTGGGAACTGCTTACACACGTCCACTTTCAAAGTGAAACGTTTCCGTGCTGGGTCACCGAACTGTAGATTTATGGCATAGCTAAAAGGGCTGTTTTAAAATATTCACAAGTTCTAGCACCATGTTGATATTCAGGTATAGATTATATTAATAAAAATCCTTGCAATTGCTATACCACCTTATCACATCATTGAGACGTCTCAAAGTACTTCACAGGATATACTGTAAAGCAAATTGACTGTATATTTTGTGGGTGAAAGGTGGCAGCCAATTGTGCACAGCAGTGCCCCACAAACAGTCGTGGATTGAGTGACCAAAGTATTTTTTTTTGGAAGGGATTATTACTCCAGAACACAATCCATCAATTGACTAACAATTGGATTCCAACTTAATGCAAGGTAAACAGAGGCGTGTGGAGTAAGGAAGGTTGCCTAAGATTTCGTCCTGCTTGGGAATCCAACCCATGTTCTCTCCTTTGTGAGGCGAGTGCTCCAATCAAATGGTACTATGAGTGGGGGAAATACAAGTCTAGCATTTCCACTAGGTGGCACAACTAAAATACACTTATTTACAGTACCCCCTACCCCCCACCCAACCTTTTTGAATTGTTGGATACCGCCTGAAATTCAGAAAGTATTTGAGCATTTCGAGGCTGTGGGGCAAAACATTTTCCACCCATGAACATCCCTCATTTCCTCCACCAGTAAAGTCTGTGATGATTTAAAGCTACTTAGGGGCCGGAAAGTGTTGTTTCTACACTGCAGATCAGGAAACCGCCCAAATAAAGGCAATTTCCTTACCCTTTTAAAATAATTCTATTATGTTGAGGAGCACGTCAGAAATGGCGGAGCCGGTGGGGTGGGGAGTAGCACAGCTTATAATTAAAGATGGCGGAAAGGGAGGCCTTGGTAGGGGTCAGGAGAGAGAACAGCTTGGTGTAGGGTCAAGGTGATGCCGACTTTAAAAAGGATCAGACGTCTCAAACTCTGCCCCGCAGAGGGTAGCGAGATCATGGAACTCTCTGCTGGAAACTGGATCAGTATATGAGAAAAAAGGGAAGAGAGGGGGAATAGGAGAGGGGAATGGGAGGAGTGTGGAATATAAATACTGGCAGGGACTGGATGGGACCAGCCAAATGGACCATTTCCCTGCTGTATGACTCCATGTAGTGCAAGGGTATGGACTGATAAGGGTTGGACTGATGAGGCTGAACAAGGTGACACGGGCTCCTGACCTCCAAAGACTCTTGTTGCTCCTTGACGACAGAGGGGTCAATCCCTGGCTCCTCCAGCTCTCGGATCAGGTCCTGGGAGTCCTTGATGGTGACTATAAGGGCCGAGTGATCACACCAGAACTTTTCAGCCATGTCCATCACATCCAGCAGCTTCGCCTCCCTCTCCTCCGCCCGAGTCTTGATGTCATCCCAATAGAAGATCATTTTGTCCAATTGATCTTGAACAGCTAAAAGAGATCAGACAATGGTGGAACCTCTCTTGAGATCTTGCGAAGCACCAAAGCCAGGCTGCCTTCTGCCCAAGGCCAAGTGCGGTTAGATCTACAATCAATTACCTGACTCTATTTGGTTTGCTTCAGCCACCTCACCTCACAGCCACTTCCAACTAGTGACTATCCTCCTTGGGAGACAGATGAGTGGCTTTGCAGGGCAGTGTACACTGTTCCATAATAATCCTCGCATTTGATATCGCGCTTCACAGAATATATTGTATTGTAAAGGGGATGAACTGTGTATTTTGTGGGCAAAACAAAACAGCCAATTGCGCACAGAAGTATCCCACAAATTGTTGTGAATTGAGTGACCCAATTTTTTTTTGAGAGATTATTACCCCAGAAAAGCGATCCTCCAATCTAATAACAACCAGGTTCCTACTTACTGCTAGGTAAACAGAGGCATGTGGAGTAAGGAAACTTGCCTAAGGTTTCAACCTGCCTGAGAATCGAACCCGGATCCTCTCACATGTAAGGTGAGTGCCCTAACCACCATGCTACAGGATTTCACCGCTGGGTGTTAAGTTACAAAGTACCTTTTGCACAGATGTCCTTGTCAGCACCGTCGGACCGGCCGATCAGCTCCTCTCCTCGCCGCTTGAGGGTTTCGAACGCCGGCTGCAGCTTCTCTAACTCCACAGACACATTCTTGTTCTCATTGATCTGCTCCTTGATCTTCTCCACCTCGGCTGAGACAGGGGGCGGCTGCCGCAGGCGCTCTACAATCCGCTCCAGAGACTCAAGCATTGGATCAATCTTGTCGTGGAACTGCACAGGGGTCACAGACCAGGAACAGTCACAAACCATCCTTTGTCTAACCAAACCTCTCCCCTCCCCCTGGCCAAAGGTACCACCGGATGCAGCACTAAACCCCTTCACACCAGGAAACTACCTTGAAAGTAACCTAAAAGCCCGAAAGTTTTAGATTGTATTGTGAAAGCCAGTTCATCGCAGGCGGCGAAATAGGCGTTCTGCGCACAGTGAATGGTGTCTACAAGGTAACCGTGTTATAACTGAATCCCTGCTATAAAGAAGCGCCTTACAAAGGAGGCCCACGGGATTTGGGTCAGTGAGGGAAGTATTTAAAAATTTGCTAGGAAATTAGATTGCGGACTCCTTCCTATACCCGTTAATCTGTCAGGCCAACAGAAGGTAACACGCACACACTCCACACGCACACCAGCTCCAAATAAAGAACACATTGGGTCGGCATCACATTACTTTCCAGATTTCTGAATCAAGAGATAACTCAAATTCAACCCCATTATCCCCAAACTGTAGCCTTGGGTAACCAAAACAAGCACAACCATACGTCCCCAGCAAGCCTGACACACTCACACCAACATACTTGAACTTCCACGCTCTTCACAAACTTTTAGAAATTCTCACTTGTCAACACATAACTCAGGAGTCCCATATGCAGGTCGGGTTAACCATGCTCAGACACAAGTGCGAAGAGGACATTGCAGTTGTCGATTATGTAGTTAACAATGAAATGGATTACAAGGAATCTCAGCCAATTCGGGCACACCTGTAATTGTCTCTTTTCCCACCCCCAACACAAAGGGATTGGAGCATTGCTCACAATAGCAGACCTCTAGTGGAAGTTCTCTACCGATTAATTTTAATATGAAAATTTAAATCCTGATTCAAGCCTGGCATGGCTTGCCTAAAATCCAAGTTGAATGAGCTTCTTGGCATCGGGAACAAACAGTGATAAGAGTCCAATTAACTAACACAAACCACATGTTAGACCACCCCCACTAGGCACACACAAACAAGAGTTCAAAATGTTTACTACACATAGCTCTACGCTCACCTCCATGACCTGGATTTTTTTTTAAAAATCAACATGAACACAGTTTTGATAAAAGGTTATAGTCGAAAGCAAGATGGAAAAAACAGAAAAGAAGACAAATTATTTTTTTTCAGAAACAACATGTTCATGTTGTGCAGAAAATTACAAAATGTAGTGAGACGTGAGATTCCCAATCCTAGTGTTCCCTGGTTACACAACAACAGCAACTTGTATTTATATATCGCCCTCGACTTACAATAACGTCTCAGAGCACTAGACAGATGCACAGACAGTGAAAGGTGATGGAATGGAATTAAAGGAGTCAAAGCAGCAGGTAATTTTTTGAACCTTTTTCCTCTCATTCGTCTACAAACCCCTTCAGACTCTGGCATCTCTCTACCTTTCTGACCTCCTTTCTCCCCACTCCACTACCCGCTGCCTCCGCTCGGCTGGCTCTGGCTCGGCTTGTCCCTCGTTCCCTCCACTACTGGCGGCCGTGCTTTCAGCCACAACTCCCCGAAGTTTGGAACTCTCTCCCCCAATCCCTCCACCTTGCCCCCCCCCCCTTTCGCCTCTTTCAGATCATGACTGAAGACCTTTCTCTTCGACCGTGCTTACAGTCACTTCCTCTCTCCCCCCAGTTCAGCGTCAGGCTCTGTCACTGGTAAGCGCTCTGAAACCCTGCCCCGCATGAAGGGTGCAATAAAATGCAAGCTGTTGTAAGATAAGGCGAGGGTCGACTTCTATACCTGGGTGGATTGAGAAATGGCCTCGTCCAGTGAGACGGCTCTTTGTTTGACGTCTTCTTTGATTTGACTGTAGAGTTTATCGGCTGCCGTGTACTTGCTCTGAATGGCGAGGCCTTCTCTGGGGCTCAACTCCAGGAGCTGGGGGCCGGTTTTATTCATCTTATCTATGTGCGGCTTGTGTTCAGCTATCAGCTCCCGCAGTTGCTGCAACAACAACAACAAAATTATACTTGTAAAGCACCTTTCACGTCGGGAGGACGTCCCGAGGCGCTGGACAGACAGAGTTTCGGATCCGACCTGAGGGTCAGGGTGGGGGAGGGGGGAGGAAGCAGGGAGATTGAAAGCACGGTCAAAGAGGAGGGTCTTGAGGTGGGTCTTGAAGTTGGTGAGGGAGGGGGCAAGACGGAGGGACTGCGGGATGGAGTACCAGAGGGTGGGTGCAGAGTGGCAGAAGGCCCGCCCGCCGATAGTGGGGCGAGTGAGGCGGGGGACGTGAAGCAGGCTGGGCCCACTGATCGGAGGGAGCGAGCAGGATGGTAGGGGTTAGGAGGGGTAGGGGGGAGCAAGACCATGGAGGGCTTTGAAGGTGAGGACCAGGATCTTGAATTGTATCCTTTGAACAAACAATACATGTCAGCCATAACTCGTTTGTGTTCCCAGATACACAAGTCTATAAATGTTGGGAGTGCAAGTAAATAAGACCAACGAAGAACAAATCACAGAATTCCAAGTTTTACGTACAGTGTCGTTCAACACAACAGCAAGGGCTCGGGTTAAATTTATGTAGTGCATTGGCTAAGCCACAGGTGGAGCATTGCACTCAGTTTTGGTTACCTCATTAAAGAAAGAATTACAACACAGCCTTAGATAGGGCACAGTGGAGATTTACTAGGACGATACTAAGGATGAGAGATTAAAGTTATCTTTAATTGTGAGTTATCTTGAAACGTTTCAAAGGGTTTTGCTGGAGCAGCGAAGTTTAAAGCAGGACATCAATGGAGGTGTTCAAAATGATGAATCGTTTTGGTGGGGTAATTAACCAGAGACTATTTCCACTAATGTGCGAGTCATTATAAAGAAGGGGTAGATAAATTAAGGACTGACAGAAAAGAGGGGGAGGTGAGTGAGAAGAAATGATTTTGCCCAGAATTGTCAGAATGTGAAATGAGTATCCTTAACAGCTTTTAAAAGGAGACTGTACAAATGTTTCAAGAACAACAACAAAATTACATTTATAGAGCGCCTTTCATGTCAGGAGGACGTCGCAAGGGGGTGAAATAAAGAAAGGGCATTGGAATCGGTTTGGAGCAGACAACTCCAGTGTGGGTGGGAGGAAATAGCACCAACACAGGTACAATGGATCAAACAGCCTCCTTCCCTGCTGTAACCCTTCTACAAATCTACAATGGTTACACTCGCAAGTGGCACATGTCTGTGCCAACGCCCCCACAAGACCTCTCTTGGGAGTCAGCGCATTGTGGTTGTACAATGGTGTAAGTGATTACTTGAATAAGGTAATGGATACAGCAAAACAACTGACATCAGAGGCAAGTATTAAGATTTCCGTGGCGGTGGTGAGCATTTTACACCGAGCACTTGTTCCGTATCTCTTTGTTGCATGTGTGTCAGCCTGGCTCAGATGGTAACACTCTCCTCTGAGTCAGAAGGTTGTGCATTCAAGCCCCATGTTGAGACTTGTAACTCAATTAGTCCAAGCTGACACTTTAATGTAGTGCTGGGGGAGTACAGTGCTACATTGTTGGAGATGCGATCTTTTGGCTGAGATAATAAACGCACCCCTGTCTGCCTGTTCAAGTGGATGTTAAAGATTCCTTGGCACTATTCAAAAAGAGAAGGGAGTTTCTCCCAGTGTCCTGGCCAGCAATCCCCCAAATAAAATCATTCACTTCATTGCTGTTTGTGGGACATTGCTGTGTGCAAATTGGCCACTGTGCTTGCCTACAAATACACAGTCACTCCTCTTTACAGTCTCCTGACATGAAAAGGCACTAAATTAAGTCCTCTGCACTCTTTCAGTTACCCTCTTTGCAAATTGGAGCCTTTCGGGATGTTATGACAGCGTTTCCATCATTTTAAGTTAAGGATTATTAATAATATTATCCTCATAACTGAGTTATTCCATTTTAGTGCACACTGGCCTGGCTGATGACACTGGCTCACTGATTGGCAATTAAAATGGTCAGCTTCTCCTGTTCCTGTTTATTCAGCCAGAAAGCAATCTTCTGTTGGGCAACACGAGATTGACTGAATAACTGAACACAGAAAAAATGAGGGCATATCATACACCTGATAAACATGAGGCCAGAAACGCAAGCAACAATAATGCACAGTATCAAATGCAGAAATTATCGGGTCAAAATACTATATCTCAAATCGCTCAACACACATTGAGTTCCTAAAGTGTTATGACTTTAGATGCGCTGGTCATATTCCGACAGCTGAATCAAGTCAGCAACACGCACAACACAAATCACTGATATATTCTTTTAGTGAACGAATGTTAATGAATGAGGAATATTGGCCAGGACACCAACTCCCTGTATAAAGCTTCGTCTTCAATGTCTGTCTGACCTGCTGGATAGAACCTTGGTTTACTGTCTCTTACACAATGCCTCGCTCCTCTAAATAATGCAAGCATCTTAACATTCAACATTATTCATCTGCTTTCATGGATAAATGCCAAAAGAAAGATAGCATAAAAGTGTACGGGGAGGGGGTGGGGGTGAATAACATGGAATTGGGATTAAGAACATTTTGCAGCAGTGAAGGAGTTAGCACCAATATAGTTTACATTTCGGTAGCCCATTTCACTTTGAGAGGATGTTCTGCGGTGTGGATACCTGAGCTGAGGGTGGAAGCTGAAGGTTCTAGGTATAGTGTGAGGAGGGCAATGAAGACCAAAAGCAGTTCGAGAGCTCGAGTGACCTCTTTCTGCTCTGTAAATTCCATGATTGGCACTCCGTTCGGACACAACAATGTGGTCTTGTCCAAACCTATTCTGCTAAAGGGACGGCGGCTCCAGATAAATTACTTGCTGACGTAAATGTTTTGGTGGAATGAGAAGCGAGCAATTACACAGGAAAGTTGCCACTCAGCCAGTTCTCTGCCTCAGTGAAGAGCAACATTTAGTTCAAACTCACAACCCAATTCCCTTTGAAGATGGAACCCTAGACACAGCTTCTCCCCACCTCCCTCCCATACCATCAATTCCACCACCACCACCGTATCCCCAACATGAGACTTTGAATTAATCACATCTTCCAGCACACGCAAATTTATTTGAAAGTAGTTCACAAAGAACATGCTAAATTAAGATTAAAAGTGAAAAGTTTGTGTATTTAATGATATGATTGGTAATTACTGCTTTAAATACAGTGTTTATTCAACCCAACAACTTCTGTCACCCTCTAACGAAAGTATTTGTTAGCTTTAGGTAACAATTTAAAGCAGCTTTTGGGAAATTAATCCAGTAAATTGTTACTGAAACACCAATCAAGTTCCAAAGTGGCTGCATGGGATTCTCAGTTTGGTTTGGATACTCTTAAGCACAGTGATAGATTTCCGCATGTGTCAGACCACCAACAGAGACGCTGTGGCACCAGATATGATGGGACTTACAAAGGGAGGGAAATTGAACAAAGAGAATAAATAACACCAGTGCCGGTGATCCCTAATTCTGATTGGTATTCCTTTCTACCTCGGGGTGAGTGGATATGGAGGGTTGAGAGGGGATTGATATGTAGTTGTGCGCATTTTACCCACAGGTTACATAGGGCAATAACCAAAGTCCTGACGGGGGGATAGAGACACAAACTTCTGACTCAGAGATGAAGATGCAAACCACAGACCCAGGCCGATTCCAGTGACTCATTCCATATTAGCATCAGGCATTCCCCAATCAGCTATGCCATTGTGTCATTGCAGAGCAAACATTATATCCACACATTGAAAGAGCAGCACCTGTGGACTGAACTCTCTTAGGCGCCTTAGCCTTAAAATCTATGGCTTACAACTTAAGACCGAGCAGAACTGTGTAAAATTCTTACATTTACAAGCTAGTTATCTGCAGCCCTTGAACGCTTTCCACAATCATAAATTGTGAAACCATCGCACATGCTAAGACTGTAAAGCGATGACCGTGAATGAATCAGATCTCAGAGTGCCTGTGGCAATGTATTGTGCCCCAAGACACCAGGAGGAACTCCCCACTCTTTTCGAATAGTGACATAGGATGAACCTTGGTTTAACGTCTCTTCCGAAGTCGGCGCCTCTGACAATGCAACACAACTCCAGCGCTGCACTGGAGTGTCAGATTAGACTATGTGATTCTTAATCCCGACGTGGAGCTCGAACTCACAACTTCTGAGTCAGAACGGGATGTACCACTAAGCCAGGCTGATACACGGCTCCGTGCAACAAAAATAAAATATAGAACCGCTGTGAGAGATTTCTCTCACCGACTCTTTCTGTGCTTGTTTTGAAGGGCATCATCAATGTGTGCCAAATTCTGGACGATTTAATGAGACCGACAGAGTCTGGACTGGCTGTAGTCCAGGTGGTTTAAAACTAAGACTGCGAGTTAGCAAGATTACTAAAAATCTACTTTCAGAAGTTCACAGGAAGGGCTGAATACTTAAAACAATGGAAAATCTGTCATAACATCCCAAAAGGCTCGAATTTGCAAAGAGGGTAACTAAAAGAGTGCAGAGGATGATTAAAAAACGACGGAGAAAGGAAAATACTGCCTTTTAAGGGAGTTAAATTGATCAGTACTTGAGCATGGAATGACAAGGGACCGTTTGGCCCATCAAGCCTGCTTCCTCCACAGTCTAAAAACTACCCTTATCAGAGAGTTCACCACAGTCTTCAACCGCCTGGAACAAAGTACTGTATAGATGGCACTCCCACAACCAGCCCCCGCAGTCAATCCACAAGAAACTCACAACATTCTTCCGTTCCCACATCTTTACGATTCAAACCTGGCTTCCATCCCTCTGAGCACATAATTCCCGGCACTCTTAATAATCTTTGCATTTGATATAGATGATGTACATCATCGAGACGTCTCAACGTGCCACACAGAATATACCGTAAAGTAAATTGACTGTATATGTTGTGGGGTGAGTGTTCCAACCTATACTTCCTCCAACTGCAGTGGATATCTGCAACTGGGAGCTTTTCAGGCTGGAAAGTATCTGTGCAGCAGGGTAATAATGATAATAATAATTCTTGCAATTGATATAGAGCTTTATCATGTCGTTGAGACTTCTCAAAACAGCATATAAATGAATAGGTCCCATGAAGAATTTTTTCACTCCAGTCTACACCTACAAATGGCCTCCTTCAGTTCATATGTCCCCTAAATCCTCCAATTCTGTTCTCAAGCAGATATGTTCCCTGTTCCTTGATAGTTATCTGATATACTGTTGTTGGGAGCTTGTTCACATATTAATTATTCTGTGGCTTGTGCAAGAGGGAGAGATATCTTCAAATCTCTTGTCCTATTTGATGGGTTTTTAACATTAAACCTATACCTTCTTGGTAGTCATAATACAAAATAAACCGTCAGGATACAAGATAAGTCTATGTGGAGTTTGATGTTTTGAAAAAGCTGTCTGTCAGTCTGCTGCCATTTACAGGGGCTAATTTATCTTTTGTCCCATTACGTACATCCTGCAGTAATTCCTGTTCCTGGTAAATCTCCAAAATGTCTTAATCACATATCCCATTACCCACAGTGAAGCTCAATTCTTCATCATAATTTCTCTAATATGAAAATGAGCAAAGAAAAAAAATGGCTTTGCAATAGATACGTCAATCATGACTTTACATTAACCTTTAAACATTGGGCCTTATGTAGTTTTTACCTATCGTGAGCAGGTTGATGTCATTTAGCCTGTTTTTCCAATTTATCATCACATCATATCTTTTTAATCCCATTCCCCGTCTTTTCTCTGTGCCCCTTAATAGCCTTACTTCGCAAGTATCTAATATCTAGTTTTAAAACCATTTACTTCCTAAATGAGGCCGCTCCCTTTTAAACAGCTGAGAATGTTTTTTTTAAAAACAGCAAAGGTTCATTTGTTATGAATGACAGGTTGGCATCCCACTCAGCTCCCAATAACCCGGCAAGCCAAAGCCATAACGGGTATGCTTCTAGCTGGACAAATAGCAGGAAGCTTGCCAGTAAAATTAACAGCAAGCTATGTGGCTGGTTAAACTCCAGCAGTACCCCCAACATACCCTCTGGGGTCCCCAAGTAATGGCTCTCACTTGCCTGCTCCAATTTTCTCTGACATTAGAAGGTGCGTCCTTCCAGGGAGAGAGTGCAGATTCCATTCCAGACAAAATGTAAATTTTTTATTTTACACGTAATTTACACAGGTATGTGGAATTCTAATTTGGATATTCTTACGGATTTCCTCATGGCTGACCAAAAAAATGAATGTTATACTTAAGTTACACTTTCTCTTTTGAATTCTCATTGTATTAAGGCCTCCATCGCTTACAACACCTTTAAGGCAGATATAAATATAAATTTAAATATAGGACGGTCTCATTGACTAATGGGTGTTAGTACGTTCATTCAATGAGATCTGCTTATACACTTCTTTATGTAACTGCATGGACAACTTGCACCTGTAGGAATTCTTAGAAGAGTTCCAGAGATTAGAGATATAGTGACTAAATGCTTGTATCTCCCTTGGTGGGATGACACCATTGAAACAGCTCAATGTTTCAATGGTACGATAATATCATTCACAAAAACTTCAAAGGATTTAACTGTAAACTGCTGAGAACTCAGTGGCCGAGTATTTTGCAGGCGAGCACAGCAGCCGATTTGTGCAAAGTGATGTCCTACAAACAGCCTTGAAGTGAACGATCAAGAACAACTGGTGGATTGTTGGCAAGGACACTGGGAGAAACTCCCATGGGACCTCTAACCTGAAAAGCGGACAGGACTATGGTTTAGCATATCATCCCAACAATGCAGAATGCTCCAAGCACTGCACTGGAGTGTCAGCCTCGACTATGATTTCAACGATCCGACATAGGCTTCAACCCAAAACCTTCTGACTCAGAAGCAAGGGTACTACCAACTGTCCCAGGCTGGCACACATCTCAAAAGCACTTCAGAGGATTCAGCGTATTGTGTAGGGGGGTGACTGCACTTTGTAGGCAAACATGGCAGCCAAATTACACGCAATAATGTCCTGCAAAAGTGAATGTTCAGCACGAGCTGGCGAACAATAAGAAAAGGCAACCGAGAACGTTCAGGGAACCGCAAGGATGAGCGTACACAATATAAAGCCACAGGAACCTCTGACAGCCCTGTCCTTACCCGGAGCTCTTCCTGCTGTTGCTTTAAAGTTTCAAACTCGATGGCTGGAGTCGGTAACTGGGATATGAATGTCAGTGTCTCCTGAAGCCAAGGCCAGAGCTCCTCGTAGGTCTCCCAAAACTGGCTGACTAGAGACTGAGCTCGCTCCAGCTGCAGATACCTCTCGGAGTTCATCTGGCTGATCACCTCGTACTGCTTCTGAAGAACTTCAAGCTTGCCCTAAAAAGACATCAAAAAAAGCGCACAGAGTGAGGTTTCTGTTTGCTGAAATCACAATAGAAAGGTCAACTTAAATTTAATTAAAAATCAAAGATTACACCCATTATGATTGTGCAGGTGACTGGCCAAACAACAAGGCATTCATTTTTACCGACTTAATAGAATTCTCTGCCAGCTGTAAGGTAATACTGGTTCGAAACGGTAGAAGTCACTTATTTCCTGTACCTTTAAAGACTCTTTCTCCTCTTCACTGCAGGAGTTCATGATTGTATCTCCATTCGCAACAAGTTCATCAATGGTGTCTTTGTGTCGCAAAATGTCCATCGAAAATGCCTGTTAACGTGAAGGAGAATCGTCATCGCTGATGCACAACACGGAACCATTTCACTTATTTTATTTTGATTACACCCTCGCATTTAATACAGCGCCAATAATGTTGTCAACGCCCATTTGGGGAAAAATTAAATTCCACCTGGGTCTAGATTTACTCTACCAATGTAGCAGTTCAGAGGACGCAGAAAATGAGATATTGCTGAGTGCGGTTTTTAACATCAAAGCCCATTTTCTGTGGTTCATAAAATAATTTACTTTCACATTCACCCACATAACACACAGTCACTGCACTTTACAGTATATCTTGTGAAGCGCTTTGGGACATCCTCTCGACATGAAAGGCACTACACCAAATGTAAGGAGTGTTATTATGTGAACAAAGTTAAAGATTGAATTCAACAATTTAACAATTCAACAGTTTGCCAAACGTTGGCCACTCTGAAATGCTACGTTAATGGAGTAAATCTAGACCCAGGTGGAATTTCTACCCAATTGTCTAAGGCTCATACGAGACAAATGGCACTTGAGTAAAATTGTCAATACCCAGGGAATAAAACTCAGCACAAGTCCTTGCCTTTAGATGAAAGGGGTGAACTTGCCAGAAACAACATTCACTAGCCATTCGATGTGAAGTTACCAGTAACAACCCAAAATACAGGAAAGACATCATTGGATGGAAGAGATGGGGAAAATATTCAATCTTATTACCCATCCTTGTGGCTGCAATCACTCATGAGTCAGGTCTACAGACTAAACCACAAGTGGAAAGACTTCCTACATAAAGGTCTACAGATCCTCTGGGCCACAGAAGCCACGTTAACACTAAATGGGTTTCATAAGAAAGTATTTGTTCATTTATAGTGCTTGTAATGGTGAAATGTCTCAAAGCACTTCACAGTACTTTCTGTCAAGTGTAGTGACCAGTTTTGCAGGCAAAAGGTAATAAAAATAATAATAATATTCCTTGCCTGTGATAGAGAGCCTTATCACTTTGTTGAGACATCTCAAAGCACATCACAGAATATATTGTGAAGTGAATTGACTGCATATTTTGTGGGCAAAATATACAAGGAAAAATATAAAGGTATAATAGCTACTTAGCATATAGCAAGGTCCCACAACAGCCATGAGGTGCATAATTAATGTAACCAGAGGTTGGCTCGGACACCGGGATAAACTCCCTTCTCTTCTCGAATAGTGCCCTAGCATCTTTAACGTCCACCTGAAAAGGCAAACGGGACCTCAGCTGAACACCTCATCTGAAAAATGGCGTTTCCAATAATGCCGCTCCTCTTCCCTCCCAGCACTACACTGGAGTGTCAGGCCAGAAAGCCTCAATGGGGGGCTTGAAGCCAAACCCTTCTGACCTAGAGGTGAGAGTATTAGCAAGTGAGTCAGTCTGACAATTAAAAGGAGGCAATCAGAGCTCCGCTTACACAACAGATTCACAAGAATAAGGACAAAAGAGAGCGATCGAGCATCTAAAGCCTGCAAATGAATGACTTCTGCTCATTCAGAAAATCTATTGCATGTGGTTAGCATGGGTGCAGCTCAAGTCTAAAGCAGGCACATTAAGAATATCATGTTATAGATATAGATACATAGGAACAATGTCCAGTTCTGTAACATATCAAACTTGTGCAGTACCTTCTGAATTTGCAGCTCCCCTGTGGTCTGATCTTGCTCAAGCCTGATGTCACCGAATGATTTGAGCTTTTTCTCAGTCTTTATGATCCAGGCGATCTCTGCATCCGCAGCTTGATCGAACTAGAGAGAAGAGGAAGAAACGTGAATGGGCTGACAAACAAGAGGGCAGAAATATCTGAAGAAATCCCAAACAGTGTGTACAAGAGGTCAATACCACTGCAACTGATAGGAGACTTTAGCTTTCGGACACTTCACAAGATCACAAGATTAGTCTGGATGAAGAAGGTCCTTCAGCCCATCTGATTTCATTCCTCTAGAACACCTCACTCTACCGTTCACCCAACACCTCATCAAGCTTCAATTTAAACAAGTGCAGTGCCTCTACCACCTTTCTTGGAAATCCGTTCCAGTCATTAATTACCGTCCGTATAAAGAAAAGCTTCCTGGTGTCAGTCCTGTAATTGCAATTTACAACCCTGAACCTTATGTCCTCTTGTTCTATTGTGTTGATGCACCCTAAAGTATTGATCAGGATTGACATTTTCACGCATTTTACAAAACACTTAAAAAGGCAAACTCAGAGCCTGTACTGAGAGGAAGATAAGGGGTTGTGGTGGAGGGGGGTGGGGAGCAGGGAAGGTTCAGTTGAAGAAATTGTTTTTAATTTGGGTTTGGGAAGCAGAGAGGATGGAGCAATGTGGAAGGTTTTCAGGAGCGTGTTCCAGAGATCAAGGTAAAGTGGCTGAAAGCTTGCCCGCTGATGGTAGAGTGGAATGGGCAGGGGACTTGAGGTAGGCTACAGTTGGAGGAGCGGAGGCAGTGAGCAGTAGACCGCAGAGGTAGGGCACGGCAAGGAATTGGCCAAAATGGTAGGGACGAGGATCTTGTCATTGATCCGCTGGGTGACAGAGAGACAGTTTTTCTTGACTTTCACTTCTGCTCTAATGCAGTACCTAAAATCGTGATTTTTCCAAACATTTCTAATGCAGTTATTCCTACAACAGTATTGCAGAGATTTACAAAAGACGAACAATCTGGTGTGATGGAGAACAGCGCATTGAAATTCACCAGCGCATCACTTGGGCACAATGACCTCAGTCACCAATACAGTTGCCTAATACAATTACCTCTCTTAAAAGTTTGCCTAACACACTGGATAGTACATTAATAAAATAAATAGCACAGCTTCAAAGAGATGACATTTCCCTTTCTGCCCTTTTTCATCTTATATAATTGTTATTTTCAGAAATCACAAACAGCTTTTGTGTATATCATAAAGTTGATCCCGCTCCCTCCTCCCTCTAGCCTGCATTTTCCTAAACTCCGCACATCCCCCAAATAAAATTGCTCAACCATTTCACGGCTGTTTGTGAGGACTTTGCTGTGCACAAACTTGCTGCTTGTTATCATCTATTATATCATGCTCATTAGCCCTATATATCCTGATATCCCATTCCTCCCCGTTGTGAAATGTAAAAACTATTATTATAGGATTATTATCATTTTTCCCAACAAAAGCACAGATTTGTTGCTTTGGACTAAGTAATCAGCAAAGCAAATCATTTTGCGTTATCTCGAGATAATAACAACAATCTTTGCATGAGATATTCCACCTTTCATCTCAAGAGGATGTTTCAAAGCGATTCATAGGATTTGCTGTAAAACAGTGTTGTTGATGAACGGGGAAGGCAATTTGTAAACAGCAATGTCTCACATTTGAAGGCTTGAAGAGTTCAAGCAACTGCAGAGGAAGAGTAGGATACTAACTGCAAACAGGATCGAAGTTTATTTTAAAAAAACTTTTTTTCAGACTTTACCGAGAACCTTCACAGAGAATGGGAATTTGAAGGCAACTGCTTCCTTTAAGAGACATTTACGAGGTGGGGTCTAACCTTGCAAATCAGTTGGCTATTTTAAAAATCCTAACATTGAAGTCTTGGTTAACTTGCTGCAATTTTGGTGCCAAAAAATAAAAGCCGTCACTTATCAGAAAGACAGGAAATGAAGCAACCCGTTCAAGAGCTGCTAAAAGCATATGGAAAATTTTACATTTCAAACACAACGTGGGTGGAATTTACCCCCATTGACTATGGATGGGGGCAGGAAAGAAAACTCCAGCCTTTGTGTATTATCTACAGTAATTCCTACATCAAAGCAGGAACGGATCAAAGTGAAGGATCAGATTTCGAGAAATCTGGCATTTTGACAGGACACATATCACCTTAACACAATTCTTCTTTTGGTGGGGGCAGGGAAAAGGCAAGCTGATGCAAATTGATGCAATGGATTATATAGAATGATATGACATGCAAACAGGTCATTCCGCTCAACTCTTGGAGTCCTGTAGCTCAGTGGTTAGAGCACTCACTTTGCAAGTGAGAGACCCGAGTTCAATTCCAGGCAGCGCGAAACCTTGGGCAAGTTTCCTTACTCCACACAGAGCCTAATAATAATCCCTCCAAAACCAAAAACAATAATAAATTGGTCATTTTCAATCTACGACTGTTTGTGGGACATTGCTGTGCGCATTTGGCTGCCGCGTTCGCCCACAAATATACAGTCAATTCACTTTACAGTGTGTTCTGTGAAGCACTTTGGGACGTCCTCCCGACGTGAAAAGCGCTATATCAAATGCAAGGATTATTATTATTATTATATAAGTAGCCCATGCCAGTGTTTGTACTGCACATGAGTCACCAACAATCCTATTCCCCTTTCACTCGTGTATGTCACGTGGATGGAACATGGTGACTGAGGCATTTGGGATAAACTTCTTTGAAATGAGTAGGTGAAGTTCTTAGAGAGAGATGCAGAATCTGATGGAGAGGAGAGTATGAGGGATGCAAATACTGTTCAGAATTTACGCTGAAGAAAAACTTAAAAGCAAAGCCCTTCTCTTCTCAGAACTCCTTGCCCTGCATCCCTCCCTGTCCCCCCAGCAAAACTCATGGGCATTTCATGTCTCATGCATGAGTTTTTCTGGGGGTTGCTGGAAAAGTAGTTCTGGAATTGCATGCTTTCCTCTGCTTTGCAAAAATGTTAAATCATCAAAGGTAAATCATCATAAAAGGGGTTTCTCATTGAATTCTTGGTGGATCCTCTGCAGATTAAATTCAAGATCCTGATTCTCACTTTTAAACCCCTTCATGGTCTTGACGGTCTTGCCCCCTCATCCCACTCCCCGTCTCTGTGATCTCCCTTAAACCCCACAGACCCGGCCTCTCCCTTCGCTCAGTGAACACCAGCCTGCTTCGTGTCCCGCGTCCTATCCTCCCTACCATCAGCTTTCAGTCATTTTGGCCCTGCTCTCTGGAATACGTCTCCACAGGCTCTCCGACCCGCTCCCTCTGCTCATTCAAGATCCATCTCAAGAGCTACCTCTTTGATCACGCTTTCAGTCATGTTTCCCCTCCCCATACCCTTTGATTCATATCTCCATCTAAGGCGGCCAGCCAACAGGGCCAAGCGTTTTGAGACGGTGTCCTGATGTGAAAGGCATTATATATTTTGCACTCATTTGTAATTTGTATATGTTATCATTTTAGGCGAGACCAAAAATCTCTCATAGTCTTAGCTTTCAAATATAAGATTTGGAAAATTCTTACATCCAGTCCCAATTTGGAAGTCAGTTTTCTTCAATTCTTTTCAGGCAGTGGAAAGGCAGACTCCAAATTACTGCAGAATCTCATTACAACACGGTTGTTGGGATCCGTAAAATCTACAGGTTTCACTGTGCGTAGCTGATTCCCTGCACACCACCCAGTTATCACGCTAAAATTAAACAGCTGACTTCCACGCCATCAGGTCATCTCCAACTTCATTTCCTGTTTGATACGCAAGTCCCAAGCAGGAAGTGACCCATGACCAGGGAGTGGTCCATTTTAGTGTGAAAAGGCTATGTGTACGGGTTCAAGAAGCAAATGCATTATAAATTAATTTACGCTACATTTAAGCACCTTATAAGGGGGGAGGGAGAGGAGTTGGGGTGACACTGTAACACTGAACATAATTTTCTAAATTCCTGCATGATATGATGTCAAACGTTAAGATGGGATCTGAAGGTCTGCATGAGGAGTGAGTGAGCCTCGGAACTCTTTCTCATGATTCAGAGATTCTGGTAGAAGCAATCTGTTGTTTTCACCAGGTTGTGTCTCCAATGACATCAGCAATGGTTAGACTGCCAGTGCAGTAAATCCCACACATGGTCATTAGCTCCCATCATCCCGGCTCATCAAAGCTATAGCTCCGCAGAACAGCAGCTGCCAAGCAACATCCAGACAGAAGTCGTAAATCGGCACAAAGGGGTGACTGAGGGGTACTCAGACATGACCATTAATTGTCACCAAGTTATAAAGGAGGGAGGGAGGGAAAGAGAAAAGGGACCAGAGAAAAAGGTGGTGGAATCTTTTTGTGCAAGGGGGCAGATGTCTCTTGAGTTTTTTTGCTCAGTTAATTACTCTTAGGGCGTCAGGCAGGGAGTATCTAGATTCATTTCCAGGAGGGTGAAACCTTGGGCAAGTTTCCTTACTCCACATGCTTAATAATAATCCCTCCAAAACAATAATAAATTGGTCATTTTCAATCCACGACTGTTTGTGGGACACTGCTGTGCGCAATTGGCTGCCGCATTTCTCCCACAAATATACAGTCAATTCACTTTACAGTCTATTCTGTGAAGCGCTTTGAGACGTCGAGAAGACGTGAAAGGCGCTATATCAAATGCAAGGATTATTATTATTATCTATTTTGAACTACTGCACTGGCACATAGCACTACATAAAATGTTACAGCGAGGATACAAGCCATTCAGCCCAACTAGTCTATGTTATTGTTTATACTCCACATGAACCTCCATATCCCAAACACCCCACCCTACCCTAAATCATCTCTCCTATAGCCCTGTATTTCCTTCTCCCTCCTGTTTGGGTCAGGGTTCCTGTTAAATACATTGATGGGTCACTGCTCATCAAAATCACAAATGACATAATAATCTGACTGCAACCAGGGCCGCCTTGTGTCTAATTCTCCTCGATCTCTCCGAATTAGACAATTTTTGGTCAGCCTCGTTCCTCTCCTTTTCCTCATCTACATTCTCCCTCTTGGTGCCATAACCTGGCAGTCAAAGGGGTCACTTTCACATGTACCCAGGAACTCCAGCCTCTATCTTTTTGCTTGAACCCTCAATTCCAGTATCACTGCTGTTCTCACAGATGACCCTGCCCATCACACATCCTGGATAAACCTATTTAATATTGCCAAACGTGAGGCTATCCTGCTTGGCTGCCTGCAGTACCTTCTCTCCTCAAGTGCTGACTGTATCAACAGAGCGAGGAACTTCAGTGCGTTATTCGACCCTCAACTCTCCTTAAAGCCTTTCAGCTGTGCTCTGACTTTTCTTTCACCCATCTCCGCAACATCACCCGACTTCACCACGATCTCACCCGAACGCAGTCAAAACATTTCAGTGCCTTGGGTCATCCCCCAACAAGAAAGACGCTATACCAACGTAAAATAGTATTTTGGAATTTGCTGTGTTTCCTAACAGATTTTGCAAAAAAGCTAATGTAATTAGTGAATTACTAAACCATTAAATGTGCTGAAGAATGCATTAGAAAGGCATCTTAGTTGTACATTTCTCGTTCCCAAATCTGTTAGGAAATACCATAAGCTAAACCCCAGGGTTTATTCCTAATGTTTCATTACTCTTTAAAAAAAAGTCTCTCAGCATCTGACATGATGGAAAAACATTAGTCATCTTGAAGGAGTTAAATATTTCTGCCGCAAAGCATTACATTTTTCTCCAAGCAACCAAGTAAAACAATCGAGGGCTCAGACAGATGGCTTCAACAATGAACATATTAGCTCCGCTCCTGGAGCCAGATGCCACTTGGGCTACATTAAGCACCATCCAAAATCCCAGATTTAAACCCTCTCCAAAAGCTCCTTTTGTCCCCAGGGAATAATGAAGCACTTTTGTACCAATAAATAGTTACCTATCCCCTTCCACCACCCGGTCCCCGCACAAAGACGCACACATTTTGCTGTCGTTTTCAATATTAACATCCGGGATTGGGACATACCTGCTGTGATCTCTGTATAGCAGCATCGATCTCTTCCACCTTTTGCCCGACCGTGTCGCTTGCCAGTCTGTACCGCTCGTTGTCATCGGATACCAGTTTATCTAGTCCTTCCCGAGCTCTCCAAGGTACCAGCTCCAACAGGGCACTGCTGACCTCATTGACCGTGTCGAGGCTCAGCCGGTGTTCCATCACCTCTTCTTTCAGCTCCTAGAAATCAGCACAGAAGATTATTGATGCGCTTGCATTTGCAAAGCAGGGCTGCCTCTACACCTATTTGCTGCATAGGGTGCATTACTGCATGAAATGAGTAATAAAGACCATTCAAATCATGACATTTACAGCATATGAAGAGGCCGTTCAGCCAATAGAACGTGGGTCACTTTTGCAATATCACCATTTAACAGTAATATCAAGTTTGATCTCTTTCCCCATTCATTTCACCTTTATAAGCAAGAATGTTAAACTTCCTTTTGTGAGCAGTGCCATGAGATCCTTTACATCAACAACAACAACATTTCATTTATAGAGCGCCTTTCACGTCGGGAGGACGTCCCAAGGCGCTGGACAGTTGGGTCAGGACCTAAGCAGGGGGGACATGGTCAGGGTGAGGGGAGGGAAGGGAGGGAGCAAGGAGGGGGTAGAGAGTCGAGAGGGGACCTGAAGGCACGGTCAAATAGAAAGGTCAGAAAGGCCAACCCAAACCCAAACTCAACCCAAACAAGCAGTTTCTCCCAGTATCCTGGCGAACAATCTGCCAGGTAAAATTCTGGTTGGTCACTTCTCGGCATTGCACAAATTGTCTGCCATGTTCACCAATAAAATGCAGTTGTTACACTTTATAGTACATCTTTTCAAGAGTTTGGAGACATTGACGCCATCAAAAGGCATCTTATCACGTCACTAAGACATTTCAAAGCGCTTCATAGAATATATTGTAATATGGATTGACTATGTATTTTGTGGGGAACATACAGCAGCCAACTGCACACAACAATGTCCCACAAGGAGTTGTGGATTGAGTGACCAATTTTTTTTTGCAGGGTTTATTAAACCCGGAAAGTGATCCGTCAATCTACTACATCCTGTTTACTTACAGCTGGGTAAACAGAGGCGGGTGGAATAACTTGCCTCAATTTTAGCCCGACCTGGGGTCCTCTCGCTTGCAAGGCTTGTTCATTAACCACTACACTGCGGGACTCCACAGGATTGTTATCTAAAATGCTTGGTTTCAGACTGAGATTTGGGACATGGTGGTTTCGTTCTATCTGTATGTCTTGGGATATCCTCCTGACATGAAAGGCGCAAAACAAATGTAATTTTGTATTGTATAAACAGTGGTCTTCAGCGTTCCAAGTTCCTTTAGTGCTCAGACACTTAATGTTATGGTTGAGTCATTACCACAGATCTGTGAGACAGGGTCCAGCTAATGATTGGAAAATTCTCAGTTTCAGTAAATAAACAGTCAGCCAAAATGATATTAAACAAACAAAGCTCTATGGTAAACCTTCTTGTCTTTATGCTAAAATTGGTCACTCACTTCCTGGCTTCTTGTGGGACATTGCTGTGCACAAATGTCCGCTGCAATTAATTCACTCATTAAAATATACAGTCAATCCCACTTTACAGTATTTCCTTTTGTTTTGATCAGCGTTGGTGTCGGGATACATGTGGAAACCCATCCCCATGCTTAAAGAGTATCCAAACCAGATCAGACCAGAGTTAACATAACATAAGATGTAGGAGCAGGAGTAGGTCATTCGGCCCTTCGAGCCTGTCCCGCCATTCAATCATGGCTGATCTTCTAATCTAACTCCAGCTAATAACCTAACCCTGCCTTATCCCCATATCCCTTAATCCATTTTGCAATACAAAATCTATCTATCTCAGTCTTGAATATGTTCAAGGACTGAGCGTCAACAGCCCTTTGGGTTGAGTTCTATGCATCCCATCTACACACGGAAATTCTTGTGTATTTGAATGGAATACGCACTCTGTCCCCGGAGAGATACATCCTGCTTACCTAATTCCAAAGAGTATTAGGCTCAGGCTTAGGGACCCTTGAGAGTGTACTGTTGGAGTTTAACCAGCTAAAACCACAAAACGTACTATTGAAAGCATTCCCAAGCTTCCCGCTGCTTGTCCAGCTAGAAGCACCCTACTCATTAGGGCTTTGGTTTTCTGGGTTAACAGAAGCTGAGTAGAAGGAATCCTTGCCCTCAGTGAATGGTTTGCCTCTCCAAGTCCCACTGATGACCCAAGCTGCCTGGAGTACTGCAGACCTGCCTTGCTCAGGAACCGGACTACAGAGACCACCATAAAGGATTTATTCGATTCTGACATGCCTTGGCCGATCATATCACCTTAGAACCAGATCAACTCCAAGGAATCACTGCTTACATCCCTGCTAAAGCGATTCCTATTGTACTCCAAACATTAAGGTCAAATCAATTTGTTATGAAGCAGTCACCCTATACAAAAAGGAGTAAATCTATTACAGTGCCATTACTGCAACCATCACACAGACATAAGAGAGAAATAATAGCTTTACCCAACGACATGATTAAAAGACCACACTCATTCGGAACCCAAGATTGACTGTATAACCCCTATTTGGTATTCCACATTTGCCTCTTCCCCAACTCTCCCATCCCACCCCACCCTGTGGGAGTGCAGAGGTAACGTAAAAGCAGTGGGCATGGCACAAAATGAGTACAAGTCGTAAGGGGTAACGTAAAAGCAGTCGATGTGGCACAGAATGAGAGCACAAACTGCTTGCATGCCAATGGATATAAATCAGCACTTTCATTGTTATATGCCCACACCCCATGTCATAGCAGAAAAACACACAAGTCAAGCATACAAGTGAAGTTTGACCTTTCTGGAGTGGAATGAACGCTTTGCAGATAGAAGATTGAATGTAAAGTACAAAAAGTATTTAAGGCAGCAGAATTAGAAAGAAAACGTACTGAAGTTCTGTTCTCATTTAAATGGTCCATGTGAACGACGTTATATAAATGTAAGTTGTTGTAATTGTCATTGTCATTACTGCTTTAACATTGTAGTGCGATAGGAGCTTTAATAGAAAGGATTGGAAGCTACGGTTCAGGGTTGAAGAATGCATTATTAAACACCCAGAACGGTTTCCACCTGTCCATTGCGTTTGAGATTAGTGCCATTCAGTCTTATATTACAAGGAACAACAATCTTTTTTAAACTAATCAAATTGCATCAATATGCTTTCAGAATTTAATCAAACCTCAAGAGGGGAGCTGTCGTCTCAAACTCAAGTCAGTGCCATTTGAAGACCTAGGAATAAAAGCAGCCTCCAAATCATCACCAACAACAACTTGCATTTATATAGCGCCCTTCACGAGGGGTAGTGTTCCGGAGCGCTATTCCGCGTGAAGAACGCTATATCCTCCCACCGACTTTGGAAAGAATTAAATCAGTTTTGAATCGATAATATGAAGTTCATAGAACAGGGGATGCTGTTCACCCTGTTATTGTATCTGTACTGCAGCTCAGGCAGCCTGGCTCTTTGGCAGGAAATGGAAGGGCAGAAGAGTCACTGGTAGCAGGGACTCTTCCCACTCAGCTGCCCTTATTCTTGCAAGCCAAAGCCCTAAGGGATAGTGAGGGGGGGTGGGGGGGGGGTCTTAGGTGGACAAGCAGGAAAGCTAGCCAGACAGTTCTCTCAATGCTAAGCTATGTGGTTTTAGCTGGTTAGATTCTAACAGTACCCCAACACACACTCTGGGGTCCCCAAGCCTTGGCTCTTGGTACTTGCACCTAATACTTTCCGGAATTCGCTAAACAGGATGCATCCCTCCAGAAAAAAAAGGTTGCGCATTCCATTCTAATAAATATCTCTGTAATATCAATGTATAGGGTGGAATGCATGGAATTCTCAGTTTGGTTTGGATCCCTTAAGGATGTTGATGGGTTTCCGCATATGTCAGCCACCCAACTAACCCAAAAAAATGTTTTGCTTTCAAAGGAAAAGCTTTGCAAGTAGTTCAGCCAGAGGATCGAAATAGAGGGCTGGCAGCTTGTTTGAAGTATGTGTCAACTCAGCAACCCACTTAAGCATCATTACAAAATCCCAAGAGAATTCCCAGAATGGAAGCTCTCTTCCCCACCCACCCCGCGTATTCTCCCGTTCCCCTTCACCCTGTCGTACAATAACAACAACTTGTACTTATACAGCATCCTCCACGCAGAGTAACGTCTCAGAGGACTTAAGATTTAGATATAGCTCCTTATCACTTCTTCAACATATTTCAAAGCGCTTCACAAGGTATACTGTGAAGTGAATTGATTGTATATTTTATGGACGAAACGCGGCAGCCAATTGTGCATAGCAGTGTCCCACAAACAGTCGTGGATTGAGTGACCAATTTTTTTTGAAGGAATTATTACCCCCGGAAAAGTGATCGATCCACCAATCAACTAACAACCAGGTTCCTACTTACTACGAAGTAAACAGAGGCATGTGAAGTAAGGAAACTTGCCCAAAGTTTCGCCTAGGAATCAAACCCAGGTCTCTCGCTTCGATTGCCTCTACACACAGGGAAGACCCAAACAATGTTTTCCCTGAGATATATATTTTTCTTGGGTGGGGGGTTGGGAAGGATCAGCCAGGTGTCTGACACATGCGGAAACCCATCTCCCTGCTAAAGACTATCCAAACCAAGCTGAGATTTCCATGCATCCCACCTACACATGGAAATCCTAGAGATAGATTGGTGGAATGGAATGTGGACTGTTTCGCTGGAGGGACCTATCCTGCATAGCTAATTCCGGAAACTATTAAGCGCAGATTGGTAAGAACTAAGGCTTGGTGGTAATCTCTGCGTAGCGAGCTTTGATCTCGTCCAACCTCTCCTGAATTATTATAACCTCATCCCCTGTGCATTGCTGGAGTCTAACCCTATAAAACTGCATAGCTTTCCATTAATATCGCTGTTTGGCAAGTTTTTCCACTGCTTGTCCAGCTAGGACCACCCTACCTGTTTGGGATCTCAAGAAAGGAGCAGATGACGAAGGCCCTTCACTCCATTTGATCTCATCTGTCCCAGAATATTCTTCTTTCCACTATAGCATCAAGCTGTGTTTTATTAAATAAGCCCAACTCCACCATCCTTCCTTATAACTCGTTCCAGCTGCTAGCTGCCCTCTGCGGTTCACGCTTCAAACACAGCTATGGAAGTCAGGCGTCACGAGTGAGGATCACTCGCTGAAAATCATCTGTAGCTATTAACACAAGAAAGCCACGAAGTGACACTCGCTACTGACTTGCAGTAAAGATTAATGTGAATGGAGTTGGGATGCTACTAAAGGCAACACCGTGAAAAATGGTGAAAAAAAATTGTCAAACCATACCACAACGCCTCAAAATTATCTCCTCTCCACAAGCCCTGTTCTTTGCCTGTGGAATAGAGAGAAGTTCTGGAGACGAGAAAGAGAGACAAAAGTGTGCAAAGGAAGAGAAGAAATACGAAAAGAAATGGAGAAAGAGAGAAGAAAGAAATGGAGAGACAGAGAGCGAACAAAAGGAGAGAGAGAGATAGAAGAAATTTGGGACTGAGTGCAGTACTCCTTCAAAGCGCCAGCTTGAACACACATGATAGACGAGTGGACTTCCTGTGGCCATAAAGTTCTATGATTCCCAATTTAAACTGGTTTTGAAACAAACTGTGACTGATCAAGACAATGGAACTGACCTTTTTCTACATAAGGGAAGATGATGGAGATTTATTGCTGACAACGGAAAGGTAAAAAGTTCAGGCTGGAGCTCATAACGAGGCCCCATTCATCAGCCAGCAGGAGGGGATGAGGGGTGGCCAATGTACAGACCGGGAAGGGGGAAATCAACAAGTAGTTAGGAGTTTTTTTTTAAAAAGAGAAAATATATCATGTGATTATTTTTTGGACAAGGGAATCGGTAAGGCGACAACAGGATTTACTAATACTGAACCAGTCTTGTATCCTGCATGGAAATGCCACATTGACACGGCCAGAAATAGATCATAGTAATAATAATCCTTGTATTTGGTACAGCTCCGCATTACGTCATTGAGACATCTTAAAGCACTTCACAGAACACATTGTAAAGTGGAATGACTATATTTTATTATCATCCCAATAGACAAAGTATTGATAACAATCCTTGCATTGAATCACAATGCATTTAGACTGTAAAACATTTCAAAGCGCTTCCCAGTTTTCCCCGGAAACGTGTAGTGACTGTGTATTTGTAGGTGAGGGCAGCAGCGTAAGCGTAGCAATATTCCCACAAACATCTATGAAATGAGTGAACATTTTTATTTGGGAGATTGTTGGCCAGAACACCGGGAAAAACTCCCTTCTCTTTTCAAATAGTGCCATGGGATCTTTAAGGTCCACTTAAACAGATAGGACCTCGGGTTAACATCATATCCAGTGTGCACCACCTCTAATGATGATGCACTCCCCCAGCATTGCACTTCAGTGGCAGTCTGAACTGTGAGCTCAAAGCCATTGGCCAAACAAGAACCACAGAGGAAATGAAACACTCACCTTGTGCCTTTGATGGGCTTGTGCTCTCTGCTCCCCAACCAGGACCACAGACGTATATGTGGCTAGCTCGGCCTCCACCTGCTCAAGCCAGGCAGCCAGCACCTCATGAGCAGACTTGAACTTGGTGGCCAGCTGCAGGGCCTGTTCTAACGTTTTCAGCACCTTGCCGCTCGTGGTGGTAATCTCTGCGTAGCGAGCTTTGATCTCGTCCAACCTCTCCTGAATTATTATAACCTCATCCCCTGCAAAAGAAAAATCCAGGTATTAAAACGCTACCTACCTAATTAACTTAGAAATAATGACTATGGTTATATTTGGTACAATACCTTTCACATCGTCAACAACAACAACAAACTGCATTTGGTACAGTTCCTTTCACCTCGAAAGGAGATCTCAAAGCCTTTCGCAAAATGCAACCTCGAATGGACTGACTATGTTATGGAGAAACATCTAGCAAATAACCTTGGGAGAATGTGGAACTCGCTGCCCAAAACGGTGGTTGAATCAGACAGTATAGATGCATTTAGGAGGAAGGTATACCCATGAGGGAGAAGAGAAGAGAAAGATATGGGAGGGAGTACAGAGCGGACGGAGACTCGTGGAGTTATAAACACTGGCAAAGACCAGTTGGGACAAACGACCTTTTTCTGTGCCATACATTCTCTATAAATCTAGGCAAATATAACCAAACATACACAGTACAATAGGGATTTGTGACTGGGTTTCTATCTGATTTCCATACTGAATTCTCTGGAGATGAATCGGGAACTTCGAAATAGGGGAAACTCACATAATCAAATGCAATTTTGGGGAGAAATGATTTTTTGCTCTTGAAAGAGAGTCATTTCTTTGCCAAGGAATGTCACACCTGGAGCATCAAGTTCTCCCAGGTCAGGTACACAGAATTATATGGCACAGAAACATTGATTCAGCCCAACTGGTCCATGTCGGTGTTCACGCTCCACCCCTCCTAATCTCCTATATTCCTTTCTCCCTCACGCATCCATCACATTTCCTCTGAAATACAGATGTCTTTTTGCTTCAATCACAGCTTCTGCCAGTGTGTTCCACATTCTCACCACCCTCTATGTGATGATGTTCCTCAAAAATCTCCCTTTTAGATGAATGACTATTCTATTTTATTGTTTTGGATGCACCAACAAACAGCCTGTGATACTCCATTTATTGAATCCTTTCATAATCTTAAATTCCCTCATTAAATCACCCCTCAGATTATTGTTACACCACTAAAATACTCCATCCTGCTCCATTGTCCTTTCTCCCCAAGTCCTTCCCCCAGAGGTCCTGACCACATACCTGTTGTCTGTTTAAGCAGGGCCAGTCCATTTTTAACAGCCTGATCAACGTGCTGTTTTCTAACCACAATGTCTTCATGAAGAGCCTATCAGAGAACGCAATCTGTTAATGGGAATCAATGAAAGCCCACACCCACTTTAGGTGCTGGTAACACACACCTTAGATTAAATAAAACGCAATCCACAGCAAATGATATATACAAAATAAATCAACACAGGTATAAAGATGTTTGAAAATCAAATAAACAATAAAAGGTGATTGATACCAGATGCTCGGAAAGCTGTTTCTGAAGCACATCGGGGTCATAGTCTTGAACGGACACATTGTTGAGTTTGTCATGTACTTCGGCCAGCCAGTTTAGAAGCTCAACTTCCTCCTCCCCAAAGATCCGGGCATTGGAGAGAGCCTGCTGGATCAGGGCAGCTTTTCGACCGCACCTTTCCTGCAGCTCTATGTATCGAGTCTGAGCAGTGTCCAACTTCTCCTGTACCAAGTCCTTATCATCCCTGGAACTCATAGTCTTTAAGGACTGCCCAACACTAATAGCTTGGTGCAACTGCTTATTGTGACTGATGATGTCATCCTCTAAGGCCTAAAGGAGGGTGCACAAAGGATGAGAAAAACAAAACGGAAAGAAAAATGTGCACAAAATAAATAACGAATGAATGAACAAACCCAAAGTATAAAAGGTGCAGAAAGAGAGAAAAGCAACAGAAAGTGGTTCCAAAGTGAGACCAAAACGCAATCAAAGTGAAGTGAGAGAGTGAGAGGCAACAGGAAGGTTGCTTTCTGGGTCCCGTTGGAAGCTTACTTTGTGTTGGGTAATCTGCTGCTGGAGCTTGCCTGTCTGGGTCCCGATGGGCTCGGAGTTTGCTACTTTCTTCTCCGTGGCAGTCAGCCATTCATTCAGAGGTTCCACTGTATCGTGGAACTGCTGTGCCACCACCAACGTTCCCTCTAGCTGTCGGTGTCTGCGGACAAGGTCAGAATGGGAGAGGAAATATAATCGCACTGCAAATACTCTGGCGGGTGGGACAGGAACCAGAGGACACAGATTTAAGTTAATCGGCAAAAGAACCATAAGGGGAGTCAAGGAGAACATTTTTTTAATCAAGAGAGTTGTTACTGTCTGGAATGCACTGCCAGAAAGAGTGGTGGGAGCAGATTCGATAATAGCTTTCAAAAGGGAATTGATGGGTACTTCAAAAGGAAAGCCTTGCAGGGCTATGGGTAAGAGCGGAGGACCGGGACTAGTTGATAGCTCTTTCAAAGAGACGGCACAGGCATGATGGATCAGATGGCCTCTTTCTGTGTTGTAATGTTCTATGTTTTTAATCCAATTCAATTTAAAATTTATACAGCGCCTTTCAGGTCAGGAGTATGTCTCAAAGTACTTGACCTCCTGGCTGGGCACCCAAGTTGTGGGGTAGGAGGAGGGGAGCGATAAACAAAATAGCAGTCAAAGTGGTATGTCTTGAGGGATATCTTTAATGAGGTGAGGGAGAGAGGTGAGGGAGGGCGGTCACCTCCCTCATCTCCCTCACCTCACCTGAGGGAGATGAGGGAGGGAGGGATCAAGTCTGAGGGAGTCTGGGCTAGAGTCCAGAGAGCGAGGAAGAATACTTGGTTTCGTTGTTGATGTTCAGCCACCGCAAATAAAAAAGATTCATTGCAGCTGGAATGTTAATGTCCCAATGAACAACAACTTGGGCTCTCAAAAAACACACAGTTCTTTTGCCAGCTTTTTAAAAAAAAATCAAACGTGTGCACTTGATATTTTTTGAGCTAATGGTCTATGCTGACACTTGGGGAGCACTACATTGCTGGAAGTGCTGTCCTTCAGGTCCTTCAGGTGAGATGATAATAATAATAATGATAATCCTTGCATTTGATTTAGCGCTTTTCACATGTTCCAGAAGTTTCAAAGCGCTTCACAGATGTTAGAAGCACGATCATGATAATCTTTGCGTTTGATACAGAGCTTTATCAAGTCATTCAAAACATCTCAAAGTGCTTTACTTGATAACGTTCATCCAAAGCATGGCTCTGACAATGAAGCCTACTCTCATCACTGCGTTGGGTGTGTCAGCTTAGACTACATGCATTCTAAATCTCAACGTGGGACTTGCCCCACAGCCTTCTGACTCAAAGAGACTATCAGATCAAGTTTCTAAAATAAACCTATTTTTGCAGCCGGTCAATTTCCAACTAGCAAAGATCCACAAGCCTCCTCGTACCTGGTGTCAGCTTTAGTCAGCAACGCATTCCACCTACGACTCAGGCCGTTTATCTGCTTCAGGATCTTGTCTTTGTCTGCGGCATCTGCTAACTCAGCAATCTTCTCCCCTTCTCGCTTAATTATTTCCACAGTTGATTTGCGATCATCCAGCAGGTGCTGAAGGAGCTGTGAAGAAGAAATACTCGGAACGGTGAGGTCAGCCTCAGTATTGCCCAGGCCTTCAAATGGACGAGATATGCATTTGCTGTTTAACACCTTCAGTCGTATCAGGACTCTCCCGCACTGCTGCCTCACACACGCTTGTACGAGGCACAAGGCAGTGAGCAAAGCGACTGGAAGTGGGGCGGAGCAGAAGGTATAAGTCAAACTTCCCGCTTCACCCCTCTTCCCGACAGTATCCGCACTGTCTGATGTGCCGCAGTGGTGGAGACCTACCAGAAGAGAGGTGCAATCGGGAGATAAAACAATGAAGTCAGAAATGGTTCGTGGGCGGGAATGAAATTATCCCCTGAGTCAGATGTGATCTGTGGACCACCAGTTGGACCACTTTGGCTTAGACTATGTGAGTTCAAGTCCCGACGTGGGGCTTGATTCCACGACCTTCGAACTCAGAGGCGAGAGTGCTACCGACTGCGTAGTATAAGGCGAGATTTACCTTTTGTTCCTGAATCTGCGCCTTCACGACCTTGAACTCCGCAGAAGGTGGCTTTTGATTGGTTACGAGCTCCTCCGTGTCCATCAGCCAGCTGAGCAGGGACTCCAGAGCATCCTGGAATCTCCCACAATGGAGCAAGGCTTCTTGTAGCTGGGCGGCTCGTTCCGCTACCTGTTCAGTAGAGAACACAATGCAAATTTAGTTACAGCTTCGAGCAGTGTATGGATATGAATAGCGCCTACAATGTCAAAATGACTCAAAGCACATAAGTCATTATAGATAAGTGATTATAGATTAATCTATAGATTAATCACTGTAGATTATAGTGACTGTGTGTTTAATAGGCAAACGTGGTAACTAAGTTGCCCACACCAATGTCCCACAACCAGCCATGAAGCGAATGACCAAGTTACTGAGGGATTGTTGGTCAGGACATCGAGAGAAACTCCCTTCTCTTTTTAAACAGTGCTGGGGGATCTTTAACACCTACTTGAACAGGCAGATCAGGCCTCAGTTGAACGTCCGATCCAAAGGAAGCCACCTCCAGCAATATAGAGCTTCCCCAGCACAGCAATTACTGAGGATGTGCTGAGATGTGCTAGCCGAAGCTGAGAACTCCAAATCCCTGACGTGGGGCTTGAATCCACAATCGTCTAGCGTGGAGGTGAGGGTGTGATACAATTCACCCAAGCTTAAAGAAATAAAAGTGAGGAGAAAGCTAACCTTCTTTGTAAGAGTATTCCATCGTGTGTTTGATTCTTCGAGATCGTGTTCCAGATTCTGGATGTTTGTATTTTTAGCGACGCTCTGAATCAGGCCTTGACCCAGCCAGTTGACCTCCTGGAATTTAGCCTGTAGTGGATCAATCTCTTCCTTCTGAAATACCTGTAACGTGCCCAGAAACAAATGAACACACAGCACACGTTAGTTGATGAAATAGATTTCCAATGTCATCTCATAAAACGTACATCTACCATGTGCAAAAGAAAACACAACAGATTTAAAATGCTCCAAACACTTGAATATTTTCAATATAGCATTCCACCTGTTATTTCACTCAAGAGTTCTGCCGTTGTAACAGTTTGCACTCTGGCACTTTCAGGATGTTTATTCAGTACAAATTATTCATTGTATTCTGCTAGAACACACTGGTTAAAAAAACAACTTGCATTTATATAACACCTATCATGTGGAGTAGTGTCACAGAGCGGTAAAAAATATAGGCCATGAACAGTCTCCTGAGGGTTTTCCAAAATCGAGGCAGCAGAAGTTAAGCAACAATAACAAATTACATTTGTATAGCACCTTTCTCGTCGGGAGGACGTCCCACAGTTGACAGTGAGGATTTGGTCATGAGCTGGGCTTGGATCAGGTGGAATGGAGGGTAGGTGTAGGAGCATGACTGAAGGCCCTCCAAAGGAGGGTCTTGAGACATGCCTTGAAGGAGGCAAGGGAGGGGACTGTGGGATGGAGTTTCAAAAGGGTGGGGGCCGAAAGGCTGAAGGCCTGACCCCTGATAGTGCTGCAGGCCGAGTGGAGGACGTGGAGCAGGCAAGAGCCCAATGAGCAGAGGGAGTGGACATGTCTGTTGACAAGTTAGCAGGTAACAGATGGAGGGAGGAGCAATGCCGTGGAGGACTTTAAAGGCGAGGTCTCTTCTGGGCTGAGTTGGCTCCAAGGTTAACAAGCCTGATAATAGAAAATTGGAACCTCTGTAGAGGTACCTCAGTGCCAATCAACAAGATTAGTACCTGGGATACAGGGTTTAGTGATGAGAGTCTGAATAGACTTTCATTCACAAGATCGGTTCAGATAAGGAAACACTTTTGGCCCATTTGATCTCTTCCTTCCATAACTTCCACCCTGTCATGTCATCCCATCATTAGCAGCAAGCTGTTTTTTAAACAAGCTACAATTCTCAAGGTGAGGAGGTCAAAGGATGATCTGGCTGAGGTGTTCATAATGAAGGGAATTGACACACTTAGATCCAGGCTTCTCGAGTTAACTGGTCTCCTCCTGTTGCTTCTGATTAGTTCGTCATGTTTGAGGCTTGATAATGTTTAATTGAGTCCTTCAGTTTAACATCAATAATAATGTAATCCTTGCACTTGATATAGCGCTTATCACACCTTTCAGGTGCCTGAAAGCGCTTCACAGAACATACTGTAAAGGGATTGACTATATATTTTGTGGGTAAAATGTGGCAGCCAATTACACACAGCAGTATCCCACAAAAAGTCGTGGATTGAAAAATGTGCATTTATTTAGCGTCCTTCACATAGGATAGCATCTTAGAGCACTTCACAAGGCCAGGGAAAGGCGAGGAGCAAGGGAGAGAGGGAAGGGGAGGTGTTTGTGAGCACAGTGGAAGAGGAAGGTTTTTCATCAGGATTTAAAGACGCGGGAGGGAGGGAAGATGTGGGATGGAGGAATAAAGGGATGTAATTCCAGAAGTTAGGGAATGCAAAGGGCAAAGGCTTAATAATTCAAAGCGAAGAACTTGTAATAATAATCCTTGCATTTGATACAGCACCTGATCCAAGTCGTTGAGTCGTCTCAAAGAGCTTCACAGAATATATTGTAAAGTAGATTGACTGAGTATTTTGTGGGAGAAACGCGGCAGCCAATTGTGCACAGCAGTGACCCACAAACAGTCGTGGATTGAGTAACCAATTTTTTTTGAAAAGAGGTTACACTTTGCCACCCATTCTTCTTTCCGTTTGGAACAAAACCATTCTGCACTGTGCATCTCCAGTCACAATATAAAGCCTTAAAGAAACAATAACAACTACTTGCATTTATATAGCGCCTTCCACACAGGGTAGCGTCTCAGAGCGCTTAACAGTGGTGGAATCTGACTTTGAGCCTCGCGCGGGGTAGGGGGGGTGGAGGATGGGAGGAGGTGGCCATAAGCACGGTCGAAGAGGAAGGCCTTCGGGCGGGACTTGAAAAAGGGGAGAGAGGGGGCAAGGAAGAGGGATTAAGAGAGCCACCAAATAACAACAACAACCTGCGCTTATATGGCACCTTTCACATAGGCAAATATCACAAAGTGCTTTGCAGAAATAAGAGTTTTCATAACAGAACCATACTCCCTCAATACTTTCAGATCAATGTTCAATCACAAGCATATTCTTTCCCCCTTATACGAACAGGCTGTCTTTCACCATGTGGTTCCCTGTTCAAATATGCATTGCATTTATCCAGATTAACCTCCATCTGTTCAAGTCTATCTCCATCTCAGCCTATTCACCTAATTCACCCACATCCCTCTGAAAGCAGATTAATCTTCCTTACACCACAAAAACTATTATTGTTTGTCATCAGAAAATTTGCTGAGACTTCAAAAGCCCACAGTAACGTTATTAAAAATAAAAACACTTGCATTTGATACAGCATCTTAACATGTCAAGATGTTTCAAAGTGCTTCACAGCATTTTACTATCAAATGTAGTGACTGTGCATTTTTGTAGGCAAATTTCCCACAAACAACCATGAAGTAGATGAGTAATGGCGGCTAAGAGGTAGCCATTTGTAAACGCGGGCATGAATATCAACTGGGACCCTGCTGGCCCGGCTAACAATCCACCAAATAAAATTGGTCATTCTCTTCACGCTGTTTGTGGCACGTTGTTGTGCGAAATATTGGCTGCCACGTTCACCAACAAAATACACAGTCACTCCACTTCACAGTAAATCCTGGGAAGGGCTTAGGAACATAGGAACAAGAGGAGGCCATTCAGCATTTTGAGCCTGTTCTGCCATTTAATTAGATCATGGCTGATCTGTACCTCAACTAATCTTTTCAATTCCAATTTCCCGCTTTCTCCCCATATCCCTTAATGCCCTGACTTACCATAATACCCTGGCTTTGAGAAGTCCTCCTAATGTGAGAAGTCCTCCTTTATGTATCAAACATAAAGAATATCATCAAACCCTATCCCAGTCCAGAGAAATAGGACTACAGAGAAAAGAAACCTGCTGAGATCGGCATTTTTAGTGGACGTCCATAGAATGGTTATGCCCACAAAATATACAGTCAATTCACTTTACAGCATGTTCTGTGAAGCGCTTTGAGACATCTCGAAGACGCTATATGAAATACAAGGATTATTATTATTTTATAAGACCTTTCACACATCACCAAGTATGAGAGCCACCTATACACCATTACGATTGAGAACACACAGAAAAACAGCTCCACAAAGCCATTGTTATCTGCCATTCTGACTCATTATTTGACAGGAATTTGCTGCACTCCATTTGCTCCAAGTCATGTGAATAGCAAATTGGAAGAAAGGTGGAGAGTGACAGAGACAGAAAGAGAGAGGAGGAATCCCCGATCTGTGCTTACAGAGCTCTGTTAGTCACAGCCTTCTCCCCTCATGGTTATCTTTCCATCCATCATCACCTTCTGCTGCCTATCACAAACCCAAATGCCTCATTTACCCATCAATTGGCTGCCCTGTTCGACTGCAAAATACGCAGTCACTCCACTATACAATAAATGCTGTGAAGCGCTTTGAAATGTCCCAACTTGAAAGGTTTAACAGCTCATTAACACCCAGGTTTAATGTCTTGGGCTGAAGGATGGCACTTCCAACAATAGACCTCTCCCCCAGCAATGCACTGGAGTGCCAGTCTAGGCTGTGAGTGCACAGCCCTCATGTCGGGTTTCAACCCACAATCATCTGGCACAGAAGCGAGAGAGCTGCTGACAAGTCGGGCTGACACCTGTGGAGGGAGACTATCAAGGCTGGAAGGTAGGCGGTGGAGTCTCAAAGTTTCTGAAAGGTGTTTCCCATCCACCGCATTACATGAGTAGACATTTGAGCTCTAAGTAACAGATGCTCCACTGATGCCTACTTGTGTTTAAAAGGCTCATGACAAAACAGCGACATGGAATTTGACCATGGTTTCCTTTGTGAAAAATCTAACATCAGTCACAAGATCTCTTCCTATGTAATCCCTACCAGGTTCCAACTCTACATCTAGTGCCGGCAAACTGTTGGGATCCCGTTTGCAATCTGCTTTTCTCTTGCTCTCTTCCTTCCTACAACACTCCTTTTTAATTAACCCCAGCTTTGACTCCCAGTCCTCACTCCTTCTCATTTCCTTTCACCTTTTCAATTCTTTATTTTTTTAAGTTCAGCTTTGACTTCCTTACTTGTCTAATTTCGGATTTGCTCGCTTTCTCTAGTTCCTAACGAGGCAGTATTTATTATTCCCACTTCCACTGAAGAGACTTAAAAGAACTCAACGTTTCCTGTGTACTTTTTTTTCCCCCCCAGTTCCACATCCCACTGAGGTTTTATGCCTCTGGATTCATGAATCTCAACACAGCATTTAATTCAAGCCCCATCTCAAGACATATCTCTTCGACCACACTTTCAGCCATCTTTCCCCTCCCCATCTGATTGAAGCCCAGCCAGCAGTGTCAAGCACTTTGGGATATCCTCCCAACGTGAAACATGACGTATCAATGTAAATTTTTATTGGATTTAATACTAATCTAATAGTGATCGCTGAATGCCTTCTCCCATTTCAGAATAAAGCTACCTCAGTATTGTTATTGCTTCGGCTTTGTAAAACAATGGTTTATATGCCAACGTGTTATATCATATCAAGTATCATATCATGTGTTATATCATATTGTGTGTCAGCATGGCTCAGTGGAAGCACTCTCGCCTCTGAGTCAGACATTCGTAGATTCAAGCCCCACATCAGGACTTGGAATTACGTAGTCTAAGATGACACTCCAATGCAGTAGTGGGGGTTTTTGCATTGTCAGAGGTGCCGTCCTCCTGATGAGATGCAAAACCGAGGTCCCGTCTGCCTGTTCAGATGGACGTTAAAGATCCCATGGCATCTCCCGATGTCCTGGC